TACATCTCTAGGAATGTATCCAGTTCTTCTAGATTGTCTAATTTGTGGTATTCTGTGCTCATAATATGTTTTGATTTTATTTTTAAAGAGATTTTATCCTTTATTTTTTTATTTTTTTAAAGTTTAAAAAAAAATTATTTATTTGACAGGGAGAGGCACAGCGAGAGAAGGGATAAAAGCAGGGGGAGTGGGTGAAGGAGAAGCAAGCTTCCCGCTGAGCAGGGAACATGATGCAGGGCTTAGTCCCGATCCCTGGGATCATGACCTGAGCCCAAGGCAGCTACTTAATGACTGAGCCACTCAGGCGCCCCCATAATATTTTTTTATAATTGTTAGTATTTCACCAGTGTTGGTTGTGATTGCTCCTCTTTCATTCATGATTTTATTAATTTGGGTCCTTTCTCTTTTCTTTTTGTTTAAGTCCGGCCAGGGGTTTATCAATCCTATTAATTCTTTCAAAGAACCAGCTCCTAGTTTCATTGATCTGTTCTACTGTTCTTTTGGTTTCTGTTTCATTCATTTCTGCTCTAATCCTTATTATTTCTCTTCTCCTGCTGGGTTTAATCTTTATTTGCTCTTCTTTTTCTCCAGCTACTTTAGGTGTAGGGTTAGGTTGTATATTTGAGACCTTTCTTGTTTCCTGAGAAAGGCTTGTATTGCTATACACTTCCCTGTTAGAACGGTCTTTGCTGCATCCCAAAGATTTTGAACAGTTGTGTTTTCATTTTCATTTGTTTCCATGAATTTTAAAAAATTCTTCTTTTTTTTATTTTAAGATTTTTTTATTTTTTATTTTTTTTATTTTCAGCATAACAGTATTCCTTGTTTTTGTACCACACCCAGTGCTCCATGCAATCCGTGCCCTCTCTAATACCCACCACCTGGTTCCCCTAACTTCCCACCACCACCCCCCCCCCGCCGCTTCAAACCCCTCAGATTGTCTTTAATTTCATGTTTGATCCATTCATTCTTTAGTAGGATGCTCTTTAGCCTTCATGTATTTGAGTTCTTTCCAACTTTCCTCTTGTGATTGAGTCTGAGTTTTAAAACACTGTGGTCCAAAAATATGCAGGGAATGATTCCAGTCTTTTGGCGGTTGAGACCTGATTTGTGACCCAGGATGGGATCTATTCTGGAGAATGTTCCATGTGCACTCGAGAAGAATGTGTATTCTGTTGCTTTGGGATGGAATGTTCTGAATGTATCTGTAATGTCCATCTAGTCCAGTGTGTTATTTAAAGCCCTTATTTCCTTATTGATCTTTTGCTTAAATGATATGTCCATTTCAATGAAAGGGTTATTAAAATCCCCTACTATTATTGTATTATTGTTGATGTGTTTCTTTGATTTTGTTATTCATTGGCTTATATAATTGGCTGCTCCCATGTTAGGGGCATAAATATTTACCCTTCTTGTTAGATCTTCTTGTTGGATAGACCTTTTATTTTTAAGTATGATATAAGAGTCCTTCCTCATGTCTTATTACAGTCTTTGGTTTAAAATCTAATTTGTCTGATATAAGGATTGCCACCTCAGCTTTCTTTTGATGTCCATTTGTATGGTAAGTGGTTTTCCACCCCCTCACTTTAAATCTGGAGGTGTCTTTGGGTCTAAAATGAATTTCTTGCAGACAGCATATTGATGGGTCTTGTTTTTTTATCCATTCTGATACGATGTGTCTTTTGATTGGTGCATTTAGCCCATTTACATTCAGGGTAACTATTGAAAGTTATGAATTTAGTGCCATTGTATTGCTTGTAAGGTAACTGTTAGAGTAAATTGTCTGTGTTCCTTTCTGATCTATGTTACTTTTAAGCTCTCTCTTTGCTTACAGGACCCCTTTCGGTATTTCTTGCAGGGCTGGTTTGGTGATTGCAAATTCTTCTAGTTTCTGTTTGTCCTAGAAGCTTTTTATCTCTCCATCTATTTTCAGGGACAGCCTAGCTGGATAAAATATTCTTGGCTGCATATCTTTCTCATTTAGTACCCTTAATATATCATGCCAGTCCTTTCTGGCCTGCCAGGTCTCTGTGAATAGGTCTGCTTCCAATCTAATGCTTGTACTATTGTAGGTTACAGACCTCTTATCCTGAGCTGCTCTCAGGATTTTCTTTTTGTCTCTGAGATTTGTAAGTTTTATTATTAAATGTTGGGGTGTTGACCTATTTTTATTGATTTTGAGGGGGGTTCTCTGTGCCTCCTTGACTTTGATGCCTATTTCCTTCCCCAAATTAGGAAAGTTCTCTGCTATAATTTGCTCCCATATACCTTCTGCCACTCTCTTTCTTCTTCTTCTGGGATTCCAGTTATTCTAATATTGTTTAGCTCTATAGTATCACTTATCTCTCGAATTCTCTTCTTGTGATTCAGTAGTTGTTTGTCTTTCTTTTTCTCAGCTTCTTTAGTCTCCATCATTTGGTCTTCTATATAACTAATTCTCTCTTCTGTCTCATTTAGCCTAGCAGTTAGAGCTTCCATTGTTAATTACACCTCATAGTAGCCTTTTTAATTTTGACTTGGTTAGATTTTATTTCTCCAGAAAGGGATTCTCTAGTGTCTTATATGCTTTCTTTCAGGCCCAGCTAGTATCTTGATAATCATTATTCTGTACTCTAGTTCTGACTTACTAATGTCCATATTGATTAGGTCCCTGGGCAGCTGTTATTACCTCTTGTTCTTTTTTTTTGAGGTGAGTTTTTCTGTTTTGCCATATTGTCCCGAGAAGAACAGATGACTGAGAGAACAAAATACTAGAAGGGTAACAATGACCCCTGAGAAACATTCACTAAAAAGATCAGAAGAGACATGAAACTGGGGGGAAAAGAAAAAAGAATATGATCAGGTTCATGAATAGAACAGAGCCATACAGTAGATTTTGGGTGTGGTTTGGTCTGTTAGATGAAACTGCCTCCCAAAATTTTAAGAAAAGAAAAAAATATATATATATGTACACACATAAAAATAAGGTGAAATACTATGAAGGAATGGAATATGAATGTAGAATGAAAATTTAAACAGATTTTGAAAAAGAAATTGATAAGTTGGTTGAAAACAGAAAGGAGAAAAATTTCTAAAAAGGAGAATGTGATCAGGTGGGTAAATAGAACAAAGCTATACACTACACTTAGGATATTTTGGTCTGTTAGAAGAAACGTAAATAGAGCCGTACACTAGACTTTGGGTGTATTTTGGTCTGTTAGAAGAAACTGCCTCCCCAAATTTTAAAGCAAGAAGAAAAGATACATATATATGTATCTTTTTTCTTTATATATATATATATATATCTGTATATCTATCTATATCTATATTTTGAGTGTATATATGTAGATATACAGATATACTGTATATCTATATGTATACATCTGTATATCTATATATACACATATTGTATATCTATATATATACATATTGTATATCTATATATATACTCAAAATACAGATATAGATATATATACACTCAAAAAATAAGGTTAAATACAATGAAGAGAAAATATGACATAAAAATGGAAATTAAAAACGATTTTCTAAAAGGAATTGAAAAGATAAGTTGGTTGAAAAAAGAAGGAAGAAAATTTCAGAAAAAATAAATTAAGAAAAGTTAAAGTTGAAAAACTAAAGAATCATGGGGAAAAAGCCATGAATTCTATGTGCTATATTCCCCTAGTGCTGGCATTTTGCAGTTCTCGTTGATTGGTAAACTTGGTCTTGGCTGGATGTTCTTGCTGATCTTCTGGGGAGGCACCTGTTGCAGTGATTCTCAAATGCCTTTGCCAAAGGCAGAATTGCACCACCCTTGCTAGGGGCGAGGCTTGGGGCCCCACTCCTCATTGTGCCCTCTGAGAAAAGCAGTCCATCCCTCCTGTCTCCTGGGTCTCCAGCCACACTCTGTGCTCACCTGGCCTGTGACCCAGCAATTCTGTCTCTGGTACATAGCCCTGTTTGGAGTCTCCAAACCCAGCAGATTGCTGCAGTGCACTCCCAGGGGGTAGGTGGGGAGTCTCCCCAGATCTGCCGCTTGTTGAGCCCCTGTTTGAGGAGAACTGGCCCAACTGTGCCGTGATCACACTTTATAGCCACCCCGAGCTGAGAGCCCACTCCTCAGCTCCATCTTTGCAGTTGGCTTCTCTGCTCTGATTCCTGGGAGCTCTGTCTCACTCAGGCAACCCCAGTCTTTCTGTGACCCAAGTGTCCTGAGACCACACTGTCCCACTGTCCTACCAAGGGTTCCAGCCCTCCACTTCTGCTTAGCTACCAAAGCAATGTCCTTCACTGGAGCAAACTTCTAAAAGCTCTGACTTTGTTCTCCTCTACTATCACTTGCCGGGAGCCAGCTGATGGAGGTTCCCTTCCCATACATCACCTTGGATTCACTTCTCCGCATATCCTACCTTGAGGAAAGTGGTTGCTTTTCTGTTCATAGAGTTGCTGCTATTCTTTTCTTTCATCTCCTGTTGAGTTCGTAGCTCTTCAGAATTGTTTGATAACTATCTAGCTGAATTCCTGGGACCAGACCAAATTAGGTCTCCTACACTTCTGCCATCTTGGACCACCTCTGCCCCCAAAATATTTTTCTTTAAGCTTGTAATCAGTGTAAAAGTGACTAATGAGGTATTTTACATTCTTTTAAAGTTTAGATCTTCATTTTTATTTTTTTCAATTGTGATATAGTTGACATATACCATTATATTGTTTCAGGTGTGCAAGATAATGATTTAATATTTGTATACATTGTGAAATGATCACCACAATAAGTCTAGTTAACATCTAACACACACAAAGTCACATTCTTTTTTCTTGTGATGGGAACTTTCAAGATCTGCTGTTTTAACAGCTTTCAAATATACAATGCAGTGTTATTATCAATAGCCACCATCCCAGGACTTATTTATTTTATAGTTGGAAATGTGTACCAAAATGGACTTGTTTTAAGTGTCCTCTTACTGGTGTTTACAGTATCATTTATCTAGACTATCAACTTACTATTGCTTTTCCTTTTGCAGAAAGGCAGAAACTCTCCAGATGTCTTCCGAAAATGACCAAGTTTTAATCCGAATGCCACGAAGAAACACCAGTGACCTCTCCAAGATGACCTCCAACAACCAGAAGACCTTTACTGAAGTAGCTGTGTTAAGTTTTCATAACATTTACTATCGAGTGAAAGTGAAGAGTGGCTTTCTTTTTGGTCGAAAAACAGTTGAGAAGGAAATACTAACAAATATCAAGTATGTGCATGAACTTGTATTAAAATAGCTTTATTGACATACAATGAGCTTTATAGATTTTGCTTATTGCAAATAAAGGTCTTACGAACATTTGTGTACAAGTCCATACAGACATACAGACAAATGCTTTTATTTTGTGTGGCTAACCTCAGAGTTAGTTTTTTTTTTTTTTCCTGATTTAAGACTTTTATTTTTTTTTCATGCCCAACGGGCCTGAGTGGTTGATGCTTGCCGCTCCCCTTCCTGCCCTGGAGCCCCCAACCCTTCACAAGAGGAGTGAGTCCTTGCAGGGCTGAGTGCAGAGGGCCCCTAGGCTTTGGCAGCTGCCTTGTAATGGGCCAGAGTGCAGGCCAAAGGGTCAGTGGCGTTGATCCACCTCGGCATCCAGTAATGCGTCAGCCAGTCGGCCCGGCAGGGGTAGTGGCGCTCAAAGATCTGACGGTAGTAATAGCCTTCTTTGGTTTTAGGAGTGTTGAAGGGAAATTTTGGGGCTGCTGCTGCCATCAGAGCGAAATGGCTGGGTCACATCTTAGGTATATGGTTAACTTTAAAGGAACTGCTAAACGGTTTTTAAAGTGGTTGTTCCATATGCATCGACTTTTGTTTGAGAAACCAAACAATGTGTTGTTTGTTTTTTTCTGGGTATGAGCTGGGGTTCTCTAGAAAGCGACTGGCTGTATGATTTACTAGTTCTTGGTCGTCGGGATATAATTGTCCTCTCCAAGCTTCCGTTTTCTGATCTGTGAGATGAAGAGGAGAAGTATGGCTGTACCTTACAAGCCAAATACTTTTAGGTCCTTATGCACTTTATGTCCTTTATGTTCCAGATGCTAGAGTGAGGTAGTTGAAATGACAGTTGAGGTAGTTGAAATGACAGTATGTTGTAAAAGTACTTTGGTTTTCAAATACACTTGTTTCAAACGAGTGGTCTGTTTATATAGGTTTGTGCCATGGACTTAATGCTTCTCTCCATTACACAGGCAGAGACTATTTAAATACAAGACAACTATAACTTTGCTTAAGCGGTGTAGCTGAAGTCCAAAGTGATAAGAGAAATTAGGAATTGAATCAGGTCTTGATTAGAACCACCTGACCTTTCTGAAAAGCTGACAAGTTCTTTGTGGAACATATTAATCAAGAAAATATTGGTCACTTTGGATTTCGTGCTAATGAATGGAAGATAAAGGATTTGAATACACACAGGTGGAATAGATTTAAAATTCATACTATGTGAGCGTACATTTCTCCTGCTTATGTTTTAAAGCTACTAGATTAGTAACTTGATACAACACAAGTGTTTATCTGATCAATGCTTCATAAAGTTTTATGGCCCCATGGTATGCATTTTAGCAACAGATGAGTTCATCCTAGGTTGAATGTGCATAGCTAGGTTCATAAAAACTCAGTCAAATCTTGCAGTTCTTTCCAATTTTATAGTTAAAAGGACAGGAGGGATTGGTTTCCTTGCTAACTCACATTTCTGGTTTAGGCATCTCTGAGAGAGGTCATCCCCGTTTTTGCTGCAGTATTTCTAATCTTTCCCCTATCTGCTGACTTCACCTAAGTAGAATTTCTGGGATGGGGAAAGATTGCTCTCATATGTGTTATTTTTTATTTGTGTTTGATAGTGCCACCACCATTCACAATAGTTATTGTATTTCAAAAAACCTGGTGAGAAGCTTGGTTTTTGTTTTTTCTGTGGACATTTTGTAATCTAATTTATAGAACTGAGTAACTAGAACCTGATTTCCTCTTGTGGGGGGAGGTGTGAAGAAGATAAAACAAAATCTGACTATGAGAATTCAAAAAGGTGAGACCTTAATTCCTCATGAAAATCTTTCTGTTATACTTAGTTTATCTCCATGCCCGGCATTTGGACTTTCCCTCATCAATACTGAAGATATATGGAAAAAATGGTCCATTCCAGTAGATGTGTGGATCCCCACTGGTCATCATGGAAATTCAATATACCACTTGGGAATTTGTTAAATTGATAATTTATTTTGACATTATTTTAAACTTAGACCTTGTACTTTTCACCCCTGTGCCTCACCTGTTAACATTTCACTGCATTTGCTCATCACATTTAGTTTTTATATACCCATTATCATTGGTATTTTTCTAAAACAAGCTCCCATATGACGTTTTATTATCCCTAACTCCTTTGGTGTATGTTTTCCAGAAATTAGAGTCCTCTTTTCTGTAATCACTCAGTCATCGTTTTGGAGCAGCTGAGGGGGAGTGCAGCCTCATAGTGAATACAGTGGTGGGTGCTAAGAGACCCTCGGTCACCTGTGCCCTTAACATAGTTGATTGACCACCACATCATGTCTCCTTTGTCTCATCCAACCTAGTATTTCTGTCTCATGCCTTAACCTTGATTACTTGGTCATGTTGGGGTCTACCAACTTTCTCCACCATAATGTTACCATTTTCTACTTTGTAATTGATAAATGCTATGAAGGGAGATAAGACATTATCCCAAAACAGTATTCCTCATTAATCTTCACCCCACCAGCTTCAGCTCCCATTGACTCTTCCCGCCCGAAGTGGCAGTAATGATCACTATGATAGTTATCAAAGGGTGATATTCTCTTCTCATTCATCTCTTCTGCATGGATCAATTTGAAGTCTCCTGAAAGAAAAAAGCTTTATTCATCATCTCATTCAGTATAGACTCATGGATTTCATATTCAGTGGTAATGCACTATTATCATTATTCTTCTTAATACTCCCATTGTTCCTGATTCGGTTAGTGGGAGACTTTCCTTTTTTTTTTTTTTTTTAAAGCTCATTCTTTTGAGATGTCCTCTTATTTGAGTAGTTTTTGGCACAGCAAGAAGTTTCAGACTCCCTGAATACTTATCTTGCTTCAGACCTGGAATCAGCTGTGGTTCCTTTTTTGGAAGATGATATTTACAAACCAAGATCTGGGTGCTTGGACTATTGGTTGCTGTTGGGATGCCATATGTTCTTAGCCTTCTCAGTGGGTAGACCTAGCGAGCATATGTCTATATATGTGTACATACATATGCCTATACTTGTGTCTCTATATCTGTGTATATAGATTAAAACCTAGGACTTCTCATTAATACCAAAAATTGTAATCTAATACCCCACAGTTCTTTCCACATTTCTATGTTTGTAAAACATCTCAAAAAGTGAAAACCCTGGCTCTCGTTATCCTTAATACACTTACTGATTTGCTCATTTTTCTTATTCTTTAATACAAGGAATTAGCCCACCCTTCAGCTGTCATCTCTCTTCCTCCCATCTCCCTTCATAGCCTGTGTTCCGTTACAGCTGTTGAGTTTTTCCCACTTCTTCACATTTTTTTTTCAAGCTTGCCTTTTTGTTTTCCTGTAATTCTCATTTATAAAAATGCAGAGACTCATTTATTCAACAAATTTTAGATGTCTGCTAGGTGCTTGACATTGTGCAAGATGCTGGTGACATAGATATGTCCTCTGCTCTCAGAAACCTTCTAGTCTAATGGTGGATTCAGACAAGTAGAGCGTGGCACTGTGTTATTCTACCATGATGGAAGCCCCTAAACTTAAATTGGAGGGCCAGGGGCATGAGAGAGTGTCTGTGTGTGCGTGTGTGTGTGTGTGTGTGTGTGTGCGTGCGTGTAGTGTAGGGGGGGAAGGTGCACCAATGACATGGACTTCTCCATAAAATGAAACCAGAGGATTAACCATTATGCACTAAAATATAATAGTTGGGACCTCAGTCCGTTAGCTGGGTTTCACCTGATGTGTTCAGCATTTAATAATCTATTTAATGATCTACCTATTGTTGACCACTGTGCTGCATGCTATGGTGGGGTGGGGGGAACCCGAGATGGCACCATTCTTGTTGACAAGACTTTATAGGACAAGAGTGAAACTTCCCTGCACGCAAATGTTGTAAAGCCATAAATAAGGGTGGAAAATGAGTTTTGAGGGATGATAGTAGAGTGGAGGGCGGGGTGAGGGAGCAAGGGGATTGTAGACCATAAACCAGAACAGAGGTCAACAGCCTTTCTGTAAAGGGACTGCTAGGAAATCTTTTCCACTTCACGGGCCACATCTGTGCGGCAGCTCCTTGGTCCTGTGGCCGCAGTGTGAAGGCGGTCATGGATGTGGGCGAATGAATGCGGCTCTGCTCTAGTAACGCTTTATGAGCAGAACAGGTGACTAGCCATTGGCTGGTCCCTGGCCCAGAGTGCAAACTCCACAAGTCCTAGGCTTTGTTTTGTCCTCAGCTCCATCCCATGTCCTAGAAGAGTGTCTTACCACCTGTAGTAGTTACTGGATAATTGTGCTAAGTGAATGGAGGGAGAATTAGCCCCTTCTCCCAGCTTGAACTCTTTCTTGCATTTGTGTTTGGACATTACTGTTGTTTTCTGTAATGCTAGGGTCTAGTGCCAAAGTAAGCCCAACTCAGGGAACTGAAAGATTGTCCTAGCCTGTTCACATTCGATTTTGGGTTAATCATTTAGGATTGTTGGTCTTTATTTGAGTAGATATTTTAAAAACCTGGAAAAGTTTCCTGACAATGATGTCTTAGTGAATATCAAGCTGATTTTTGGTCATTTTAGAAGTTACTGGGTAGCTATTAATACAGTTCCTGTGTAGCTTTTTTTTTTTTTTTTTTTTTTTTTTTTTTTAAAGATTTTATTTATCTGAGAGAGAGAGGGAGAGCATGAGCGGAGAGAAGGTCAGATGGAGAAACAGACTCCCCGTGGAGCTGGGACTCCAGGACTCCGGGATCATGACCTGAGCTGAAGGCAGTTGCTTCACCAAACAAGCCACCCAGGCACCTACTGGGTAGCTATTAATAAAGAAGATGCATCAAAAGCTACAGATAAATGCATCTTGAAAGTTCACTTAACCAGTGTGTCTTTTTATACTGTGGGGTGTGGGTGGGGAAGACGGCACTGAAAGCATAAGAGATCTTTCTGTTCTACAGCTTGCTCCCAGTTTATCAAATTCATTTTTTGGTTGGGTATTTCAGTGAGAGGCACCTCAGTTCATGAGCAGAGTGAGAGCTACCTTCCCTTTTAGCCTCCACCAGTCATTTTATACTTATAACAGTTTAAGCACAAGAGTCAGTAAATGCTGAGGTCCTCTGTGGTTGAGGTATTGGGGTACAGCTGCTTTGTGATGTTCACCACTCCTGGTTATATAACCTTAGGATTGGCCTCTGAGAATCATTGCCTGGGAATGAAATAGATTTCAGCTTTGGAATAGATACTATTTTTATTTTGGGATAAATTTTGATTTATCTGTTCCAACAGAGATTGGGCATAGACAACAAGGTTTTGAAAAGGCTTTTCTAGCTTTTCCAGGTCTCTATTTTATCATGCCTGTTGAGCTGGAGAGACCCTACTTTTTTCTTTATTTTAACTTAATATATTTCTAAAAGATTTTATTTATCTATTTTAGTGGGGAGACTGGGCAGAGCCAGGGGGGAAAGAGTTATTAAGCAGATTCCACATTGAGCATGAAGCTCAACGTGGGGCTCAGTCCCATGACCCTGAGATCAGGCCCTGAACCAAAACCAAGAGTCAAATACTTAACTGACTCTACCCCCTGGGTGTCCCTGGAGAGGGCATAGTCTCCATTCTCCTTTTTCCAGTCCTTTTCTCCTTGCCAGTCTACTGGTTACCTTCAGGATAAAATTCAAACTACTTACCTTCTTCTTGAGTCTCAGCACAGTAAACCCTGCCTTAATTTTTTTCTACCTTCTTGCTCTCTATCTGGGTATTCACTGCCCTTAAACATCTTAGTTTGTCTGGGACATGCTGTGTATGCTCCCATGCCTCTATATCCTTAAAGGTTGTTCCCTACAGAAAGTGGCATCTACCAGTTCTGTGCTGAGAATTTTCTAATCCACCTACCTGATACTTTATAAGGGAGAGAATAGTATATCCTGAGGTACATGTTTTACTTTTCTAATTCAGTAACAATTTTGTGACAGGTAAAAATTGGTATTTTGGGGGGCGCCTGGGTGGCTCAGTGGGTTAAGCCTCTGCCTTCAGGTCAAGTCATGATCTCAGGGTCCTGGGATCGAGCCCCGCATCGGGCTCTCTGCTCAGTGGGGAGCCTGCTTTATCCTCTCTCTCTGCCTGCCTCTCTGCCTACTTGTGATCTCTGCCTGTCAAATAAATAAATAAAATCTTAAAAGAAAAAAAAAAAGAATTGGTATTTTGTTTTTTACCCATGAGGTGCTTTATTCTTAGCCATTGAAATTCTACTTCACATATATTGTTTCTTAATCTGATGAGTTTTAAGTGGTGAGAACACTACTGGTGATTCTAGAAATCTGTTGACTTATTAATTGTGTAGAACTTAGAGTAGGTAGCCACAGAGGTGACTTGAAGTAAATCAGTTAATGTCATCAAACATTAGTTAAGACTTGTTACATTCTTTACACTGTATTAAGAGGGGTAAGTGTAACACATATGTTTAATCAGAATCTGTCACTTTAAGGAAACTTGAAATTTCTTGTGTTCTTTTTCAAAGACTATAAATGGTTTAGAGAAGAAGTGAAAGGAGTTTAGAGGGACCCAAGCCATTTTTCTTACAGGTCTTGACTAGTGATTAAGATCCTTCATGTGCTGGACTTATGTTAATTGACATACGTTAATGGACATTACGTTAATTGTCTTTTTCCTTTCAGCATTGGTTTGTGCTTGCTTTCCGTCTATAGTTTAATCACTTTCATTGAGCGTATTAGATGCAGACTCTAAATTTATAGAACTGGTTTTGAAGTGGGCTAATGAACTGATATGTTCTGTGCTTACAGTGGCATCATGAGACCTGGCCTCAATGCCATTCTGGGACCCACAGGTGGAGGCAAATCTTCGTGAGTATAATAGTAGAAGTCAGCTTTTCCTTTGGGGTTTAATGTGCTTTTCAAGATGCCTTTCATGTGAGCAGGTATGTGTCGAGTGTTTGCTGCCTGTCTAGTGTGGTTCTAGGTGCTGTGGATAATATGCATGATGCTAGCTTGGAGCTGGTTGTCCCAAGGACTGGGAAATCTTGGTCAGCTTACTAATAGCACACAATAACAAGACATGACTGGCATACAGCTGTCAGCTATGATTTGAGCTAATGCGGAGGGTAAGGAGAGAGAAAAAAATTGAAAGTGTGTAGATGGAGCCAAAGGCCCAAGTGAAGACTTACTTCTTAGACGAAGGAGCGCATTGTCTGACTTGAGAGACCCCCAAGGTCACATGACCTGGAAGGCTGTTGGGGAAGTCTGTGCTAGAGCAGCCAACGGTGACTTGGTTTTTGAGTTATACTGTAATATAAACTAAAAAAGGGAAGGTGAGAATTGAAAAATATATGTAATTTTATGATGAATCACGAAATTCTACACCTGAAACCAATTTCATCATATATGTTGACAATAAAGATTGAATTCAAGGAAGTACCTGAAAAAACAGAAAACCATATACATAATTTTAGGTAATCCATGGAATTTCTTGATTGGTCAGTATTCTAACTTGAGCAGAATTTGGATTTAGAGTAGCTGAGAAATACAGCCTGAGTTGAGAAAAACAACAACATAATATGTCCTCTCATAGGTTGTTAGATATCTTAGCTGCAAGGAAAGATCCGAAGGGATTATCTGGAGATGTTCTGATAAATGGAGCACCTCGACCTGCCAATTTCAAATGTAATTCAGGTTATGTGGTACAAGTAAGTATTTGTGGATTTGTATCTTAGCCTTCTTCTATTTCTGTATGGGCAAATGCCTTGGTTGAGAGATAAGTGTACTTCCAGCTGACCAAATGATATGTTCATGGAACCAGTTTCCTTCACACCAGCTTTTCATAATCCCTTGTTAAGATTCAGAGTGGTGTTAAATGAAGAGGCAGGAAGAATCTGGAATCTAACTGCTATAAGGGCAATGATATCCATTCTAGTTATGATTTTCACAAGACACTACTAGTCTCCTTTTTTGCCCTACCTTCACCTCTCTCCTTCCCCTAGCTTAGAAAGATGTTTTGCTAAATTTGTGTAAAGCAGTCTGGACATGTCTGCTAGTAGTAGTCATAATTACCTGTGTCGACTTGGATGTACACATAGGGAATGAAAATTATGCCATCTGCTTTTCCAGCTCTCTGTATTTGGAGTTGCTGTCATTTGTCTACCTGCAAGTTCATCATTAGCTAGAACTTTATGTTGATTGGTATTCTTGGGGATGAAGTTACATGGGCTTAAGTGTGATGGTATTAGAAAAAACCTAATATGTCTTGTTAAAATGTCATTTTGCTTCAAGGATGATGTCGTGATGGGAACTCTGACAGTGAGAGAAAATTTACAGTTCTCAGCAGCTCTCCGGCTTCCGACAACCATGACGAGTCATGAAAAAAATGAGCGAATTAACAAGGTCATTCAGCAGTTAGGTCTGGATAAAGTGGCAGATTCCAAGGTAATGTGGAAAAACCAGATAGGGTCATAGCCAGCATTAAGTTCTCACCTGTGTGGATAGCGTAACTCTTACTCAGAAGTTTTCTACAATGTGCGTGCTCAGAAGTGGCTGCTTTCAGTAATATAGAGAAGTGCGACTTGTTACATAATGTGAAGATGGAAATTAACCAGGTTAAAGAACAACCTAAAAATGTTTGGATCCTGGAAATGAAGTGTGGCAGGGTGGTCCAGTGCATAGAAGTGCCTTTGCGAGGAACACAAGGCCCTTTCCCCATGATTATAGCTCTTGACGCTCTCACACTGTTTGTCGGGTCTCAGCTGTAGCTTTCCACTAACTTTCCTTCTTCCTGCTTTCTTTCCCCTTTTAGCTCTCCTTCCTCTTCCTCCAGGAGACTTTGTGCCGTTGCTTTTGAGGTATATTTCTGGAATTCTTTTTTTTTTTTTTTAAAGATTTTATTTATTTATTTGACAGAGATCACAAGTAGGCAGAGAGGCAGGCAGAGAGAGAGAGAGAGGATGAAGCAGGCTCCCCGCTGAGCAGAGAGCCTGATGCGGGGCTCGATCCCAGGACCCTGGGATCATGACCTGAGCTGAAGGCAGAGGCTTTAACCCACTGAGCCACCCAGGTGCCCCTATTTCTGGAATTCTTAAATGACGAAAATCCAAGGGTTCTGGCTCTATGTTTCACTTTGCTGTAATTTGGCTTTCAAAATTATATTTCATCAAAGTGGAGTTTCTTTTTTCTTTCTTTCTTTTTCTTCTTTTTTTTAAAAAAGATTCTTTATTTATTTATTTGAGAGCTAGAGCAAGAGAGCACGAATGAGAGAGGGGCAGAGGGAGAGGGAGAAGCAGATTCCCTGCCGAGCGAAGAGCCTGATGCGGGGCTCGATTTGGGGCTTGATTTAGAGCTCGTTGTGGAGCTCGATCCCAGGACCCCGGGATTATGACCTGAGCCAAAGGCAGACGCTTAAGCGGCTAAACTACTCAGGTACCCCAGTAGGGTTTATTTCTAACTTGTGTAGCATCTGAGTTGTTTTTCTATAGCCTTTTCTTTGGCACTTTTGTCTCTCATTCCTCTCTCCCTCTCTTCCTATCTTCCTTTCTTCTGCCAGTACTTACTTATAGGCTGTGTGTTATGTGCTGGGCTCTTAGGTTTTAGAGATAACAGTTATGGGCAAGAGAGACAAAAATAACTCCCTTTTGTGGTTATGCAGAGTCAGGAGGAAGGAACGAGATGAACAAGGGAGTTTTATAGTTGATGACTAAGGATGAAAGATTTGCCTGGAAGACTTTTGAAGCTTTGGGTGAAGATGAGCTTTTTAAGATTATGGTGACTATTATTTAGCATTCTTTTTTAAAGATTTTTTTTAAAGTAATCTCTACACCTGAGTTGGGGTTCGAATTTGCAACCCTGAGATCAAGAGTTGCATGCTCTGCCGACTGAGCGTGTGGTGGTGATAGTTTAAATCCCCTGGATATATATCCCTTATTTAGAGATAATGAAGAATGGGGGTTTTCTGCTGGTTATTGCTTCATGTCATACTGTCTGACATTTTAGAAAAACGTAAAATGTATTTTGCTTGTATTTCATTTGAAAGCTTGGTGCTGAGATGCCACCATTTACCATTTATTTTTGTTTTAGAAGTTCATGAGTTTAGATTTCCTTTGTCTTGGCTCTGTTATTTGATTTTGTCTTTTTCTTAAGGTGCATTCCAATCTTTGCCTTTAGGTTAAAGTTCTTTACCAATAAGCAGTCAATTGCCCTAACTTCCTTGCATGTAATTCCAGGAAAAATGAGCTGAAGGTAGTTGTTGACTTCTTGGAATTTATTTAATTGACTGAAAATATGTTTAAAATTTTTTACTTCTTATGAAAATTTAAATATAGCAGAAATATAGCGAATAGTCTAATTACTATCGTAATTACATGGTTATAGTATAATTAGTATAATGGTATGATTACAAATAATATTCACCTAGATTTCCCAGTTGTTAACATCTTATCCCATACTAGCTTTGGCTTTTTTTCTGAAATATTTTTTAAAAAGTTGTAAATATCATATTTTACTCCTGACTACTCATTTTGCATCTTTTTTAAAAAAAGATTTTATTTATTTATTTGAGAGAGAGAGAGATCACAAGCAAGCAGAGAGGAAGGCAGAGAGAGAGAGAGAGAGTGGGAAACAGGCTCCCCGACGAGCAGAGAGCCCAATGTGGGGCTCGATCCCAGGACCCTTAGACCACAACCCGAGCCGAAGGCAGAGGCTCAACCCACTGAGCCACCCAGGTGCCCCAACTCATTTTGCATCTTAAGAAAAAAGACATTTGCCTAGGTTACCATAGTACTGTTACTAACCAACAAAATTAACAGTATCTTAATATCAGCTATGTTAAGCCATATTCATTCACATTTTCCCAGTTGTCTCTAAAATGTCTGCTATATCTCAGTTGTTATAGGATCCAATCAAGGGCATGAGTAGCACTTCCTTGTTATCTCTTTGAAGACTCTTAATATAGGAATTCTTTTCTACTTCCTGCCTCTCCCCAAACCTTCTTGCTTCCCCTGCCCCCCTGCCCTCCACACACAATGACATTGACTAGTTGAGATGACTGGGCCAGTTGCCCTATAGAATATTCCGGCTTCCAGATTTGTCTGAAAGAATGAGTCAGGAATTCTGTAGTGAGTTGGGATACAGGCAGGGTCAATTTGGGAAGCCTTATGATCATTTAAGAGGTGCTAATGTGGTGTGATAGAAAGTGAACTTTCCCATTTGCGCCACCCGCCCCAGGACTTTCAGAGGGTTGGGGAGGGAGGGCGTAAGAAGACTAATAAATTCTAGATGCTTTCCCCTTTTCCTCTCCTACTTTTGTCTCCCTTCTGCTTTGTGATTTCATTATGCCAGGGCCATATGTTTTATTGTTCCAATTTAACTATCTTAAAACTAAATATTTGACTTGATGGGGAACAAGAAGTACTGTTAAGCATGGTGTTCATATCAGGCTTGGCCACTTCCCGACCTGAGCCTCAGTTTGCTCATGTTATTAAAGAGAAACCTACCTCTTCTCCTGTAATTTCATTTATTTGTTATTTGGAATAAGTGAGGATAATGAGATAAAGTGCCTCTTACAGGGTTGGCATGTTGTAGGACCTCAACAAATGGTAGTAGCTGTGGTTGTAATTGTTAATGATGGTATTTGTGCTTTAGGTTGGAACTCAATTTATACGTGGTGTATCTGGAGGAGAAAGAAAAAGGACTAGTATTGGAATGGAACTTATTACCGATCCAGCCATCTTGTTCCTGGATGAGCCCACCACTGGCTTAGATTCAAGCACAGCAAATGCTGTCCTTTTGCTCCTGAAGAGGTAAATGCGATGGGAACATTTTTCTTCCACTCATCCAATATCAGATCCCCTGCGATGCACCAGGTAGTATTCTCAGTGCAGGAAGTTCAAGAGTGAACACAACAGACAAAATTGTCTTCCTTCTTTGTTGGAGGGGAGTAGTCAACTGACAAATAGAAGTGTTTCAAGGAAAATGAAACAGGGTAAGAGTTTGGCAAAAGATGGCTGTGGTGGGAGTGGGGGTGCTCTATTATATAGCAGGGTGGTCAAGGAAGACCTCACTGATGTGACGTGTGAGCTGGGAGCAGGGAATGGGGCCTGGATGTCTGGGGAAGACAGTCCTCGCTGGAGGGAAGAGCCGTGGGTCCTGAGCATGTGTGATGTGTTTGGAAACATCAAAAGAGCCAGAAGGAACTGAACCTCAGTGAACTAAGGGGAATGGAGGTTGTTTACTGATTCGTTTGCTGGGGCTGCCATAATGTAGGACCACAGACCGGGTGACTTAAACAACAGAAGTTTAGTTTTTCACATGCTTGGGAGGCTAGGAGTGTAAGTAAGATAAGAGCATCAGCAGGATTATTTCTTCTGAGGTCTCTCCTTGGCGCAGGTAGCTGTCTTCAATGTGTGTCTTCATTTCATTTTCCCTCAGTGCATCTGGGGCCTTATCTCCTGTTCTTATAAGGACAATGATCCTTATTAGATTAAGGGCCACTCATATGACCTTGTTTAACCATAATTACCTCTTTAAAGACCCTATCTCCAACTACAGATATATTCTGAGGTACTCGAGGTTAGGACTTCAACATGAATTGGGGGAAGACAAAAGTTAGTCCATAACAATTAGAATAGGACATGAGATGGAATTGAGTGGGTGGCAGATTATGCAGGCTTTGTAGGCCACAGTAAGAACTATGGCTTTTATTGTCTCTAGGTAACATGGGAACTTTTAGAGAGTTCTAGAACAGAGGAGTGGCAGCTGTGTAGAGAAAAGAACTGTATAACTGGGCAAGGTGAGTACAAGGAAACCAGTCAGAAGGCTGTTTGTCTTAGCTCAAATGAGATAGGATACTGGCTTTGAGTAGGGTGGTAGTGGTGAGGTGGTGAGAAGTCGTGGATTCTGCATCTGAAGATAGAACCAATAGGATTAGTTCGTGAATTGGAGGTGGGGTGTGGTTATCAAGAGAACAAATTTCTAAAATTTAGGGCCTAAAAAATGGAAGAATGGAGAAAATAGTTGCATTTACTTTTATTCTTCCAGTGGGAGGAATATGTTGATAGAAATTTCAGAAGGTAAATTTTGGACATCTAAAAAAATTAAAAAAAAATTTTTAACCTTACAGAAGAGTTACAAGACTAGTACAAAGAAATCTCATATCTTCTTATTGCGATTTCCCAACTGTTCCCAACTGCATTTATCTGCATTTACTCTCTCTCTAACCCTCCACCCCACATAGTCTTTTCCTGACATCATATACCTTCACCCCTAAATACTCTGGAGTGTAACTCCAGGAAACAAGGACACTCCTCCTACATTACCACACTGCACACCTCCCAGCTGCGATGTTTCCATTGCTGCCATCACCACCATCCAACCCATAGACTTCAGTTGGACTTCACCAGTTGTCCCAGAAGTATCTCTTTCTCCTTTCTGACTCAGGATGTTCTCCAGAACCTCTTGTTTAAGTATTTTCTAATCCTGAATAGTTTTTCAGTTTTCCCTGGCTCTCGAGTCCTTGTCTGTCTTCAAGAGTCCATTTCGTAGAGTGGCCCTCAACTTGGATGCCCCCAGGGTTCTCTCATGACCAGACTCAGGCCATGAGTTCTTGGCAGGGGTACCACAGAAACAATGCCGTGTTCTGCATAAATCAGGGGCTGCCTGATTTTGACTTCTCCTACCATGGGTGATATTCATGACCATCACCTGTCGTGTTGGTGTCTGCTGGGTTTACCTGCTATGAAGTAACTATTTTTCCCTTCATAATTGGTTGGTATTTGAAATGATCAGATAATATGTCCATACCCTATTCCTCAACAAATATCCACCCACCAGTTTTAACATATACTAGCAATTTCTGCCTCTATCAGTTACTGGTGCAATGGTTGCCAAGTGATTTTCTATTTACGTCATTCTTTCTACATATATTAGTTGGCATTCTACTGTAAAGAACTTTTCCTCCTTCCCCATTTATGTTTTCTCATATTCTTATTTTCGTTAATGGATCAGTGGATTATATAACTTACATATTTATGATTAGATTAACCCTTATTTGGTCATTAGAAGCCCTTTCAGTCTGATTTTTGTGTCCTTTTGACATGTTCCCTAATCATTCTTCAAGCAATTCTTTACTTTATGGTCAACAAGATGTTGCAGGTTCATCTTGTACTTTTCCTGTGTCAGATGTTTCTCTGGAGAGTCCTGCTACCTTCTGTTGTAGTCAGAATTTAGAAACCAAGATCTAATTACTTAGCGTGTTCACTGCTACTGCCATTTCATTGCTTCCAGACCAACTTAGCAGACATACCTAGGAAATACTTGTGTACATGTGTGTGCTTTATGTCTGTGCATATATAACACAGAAATATGTATCTGTATTTTTTTATTAAAGATTTTAAGCAATCTCTACACCCAGCATAGGGCTCAAACTCACAACCCCAAGATCAAGAGTTGTATGCTCCATGGACTGAGCCAGCCAGGCACTGCTAGTTCTATATTTTATATGGGAAATATTTAGAACATTATTTTATTATGTATTCATATGTATATAGTTTGAATAGAATGATACATGCAAACATACATCTGTAATTATCGCTCTGTTAGCCTGTGTGTATCAAAAAACCCATGAGTGCGTAATATTTCCAATCCAGCCTAACACTTGAATGTTCTTTTTAGTCTTTGCCATTTCCATATTTGTAAATGATTTTTTTTTAAAGATTTTATTTATTTATTCGACAGAGAGAGATGCACAGAGAGAGGGAACACAAGCAGGGGGAGTGGGAGAGGGAGAAGCAGGCTTCCCTCCAATCAGGGAGCCTGATGTGGGCCTCGATCCCAAGACCCTGGGATCATGACCTGAGCCGAAGGCAGACACTTAACGATGGAACCACCCAGGCGCCCTGTAAATGATTTTTTAAACAGGCAAAAACTTAGCTGCCATTATCTCAATACATTTACTTACTTTCTAAGCCAAGTAACTTAATTGTTAAATATAACTGATCTCCTAGTCACGCTGGCCATGCTCTCTGCCCACCACCTCTGGGACTGCTCCCTACCACCCCAATTTTTTAAAAGCTACCACACACATTCTCTTCCTGTGGCATCCCCTCCTTGTTGTTACCGTGCTTCCTCAGATGCTCATGCCCTCCTAAGCAGGTCTCTGTGCCAGGATAAGAAATGGGAAGATTTTAGACATCTTAAGTTTGAGATGGCAGTTACACAATAAGGTGAAGACGCCAAGTCATGGGTCAGGTTCTGTTAGGGAATGCGTGTTATCTGTCAGTGTGTTAACTGTTCATTAGAGGATGGTGGAATGCTCTGGGCTCTGTCGTGTTTTATCCTGTTTTGCACTAGTTAGCACATAGGCATCTTTCCTTGGGCTGGAGGGCTTTAACCTAGAATTTCTGACACACCACTGTGCACACTGATCACTTGGATCTTGTTAACATCAGATTGCTTCCATTGCTCTGAGATGGAGTTTGAGTCTTCCTGTCTCCCAGGAGATACTGATATTGATGCCATTTCCTTAGACCACAAAGCTCTCATGGAAGCACTTCTTTGCTTCCAGTCCTTCACTGGCTCTTTCTTGCCCTCTGACGAAAGCTGCAGCTTCTGAGTGAAGGGACTTGTCATGGGCTGGTTTTTTGGGGCAGTCTCTTTTCATAGCTTCTTCCCCTCCCCCTGGCCTCGATCTCCACGCACACATCCGGGCTTTGCAATGACACGGAAGTACTTGTAGTCTCCTTAGTAGACCTTGTTATTGCATAGTCTGTTTGCCATCTTCCTTCCGCTTGACTACATTTTCTCTTCTTGGCTTACTCTAGTTGGCCCCGTTGATGCACTACTTATGTTATCTTCAGACTGGGTTACGGTCTTCCATTTAGCTTATAAGGAACCCTCAGCTTCTTTTATTCCACACTGTACTGAAATGGTTGAATCTACTGGCCTGATCCTTTTTAAGGCAGAGCAACCTTTTACCCACTGCTAACATGCAGTAGGTGCTTAGAAAATGCTTAAATTGATATGATACTGCTTATAAAACATTTTCAATAATGACAGGTTTTCAACAGTGATTTTGGCCTTTTGTTTCTTCTATCCATGAGTAGTACCTCCCATGTAAATGTAGTTTAGCAATGTTTTGGCCTTGGAATCAGACCAGGGATCAAATCCCAGCCCTGGCCCTTACTGTGACACTTAGGGCCAGTCGTTCAACCCTCTACTTCTCATCCCTAACACAAAGGTAATAATATTATTGGTACTGCCTGATAACAGTATTGTGAGAATTAAGGTAAGTATGAAAGTATATAATAGCAAAGACATAGTAAGTACTCAGTAATGTTAATTGTATCATTAGGGCAAAAGAATGAAAACCAATTCCTACAAAGCGAGGAGATTTAAATGATCAGTGAAAATGGGGCATACAACCATCATTTTAACATTCAGTCCATGATATGTTTCCAAACTTGAGTGTTCTTACAGATTACCTGAGTGCCTGTTAGAAATATGGATTCATTAGGCCCAGTATGTCTGAGAAGACTGTCCAGGGATCTGCATTTTTCATGAATATTCTGGTTGATGTCAACTGCCCATGGAACTCACTTTAGAAACCCTAGTGTTTCATAAAAGCACTGCCTTTAGGTCCCCTAACAATCAGATAATATGAAATGAGGAGTTAGTAAGAAAAAATCAAGTCGAACTAAGAATAGATGATTAAAGTTGCCATGATGTTCAAGTTTTAGATGTTTAATGACTTTTATTTTTTCACTTTTAACATAGGATGTCTGAACAGGGACGAACAATCATCTTCTCCATTCATCAGCCTCGTTATTCTATCTTCAAGCTGTTTGATAGCCTCACCTTGTTGGCCTCAGGAAAATTAATGTTCCACGGGCCTGCCCAGGAGGCCTTGGGATACTTTGCGTCAGTAGGTATGCTTGATTTTTTGATACAATAAGATCCTTTACTAAAAGAAACCTGAAAGAGAGCAATGGAGGTCTCCAGGAGTGCTGTTTGGTCTTTGAGTAGACATACTATGGCTTCCACCACTCCAAAACATCTTTGGTGAGTTTGGTGCTAGAATTTTTCTTCACTTTATAGTCCTACCTTGTTCTTTAGGTCTCTTTCCTGTCCTATTCGACTATGCCTGCATACACATATGTATGAATATTTCTACTGACCGTCTTCCCAGTTCTGGTGACCTTTCACTAACAGTTCAGTGAATGTATTGGCCTCATAACCAGTTATCTGTCAGTCGAACGTTTTTGAAAAGGTCTCATAATATCCCCAAATATTTTGTCGTCTTGTCCAGATTATGGATCAGGCTTTCTCATGTCATTCCTTTTTATGGGATGTTGATCTGCTGTGGTGGGGATTCATGAAGATGCTACTTAAAATTTTCTAGTAACATTAAATTACAGATTTAGGCTTTGAGCGGGGTATTAGAGACTTACCAGTCAATAGAATGACTCATTGTAAGTCTTACTTTGAGGGGCCAAAACTTCTGACAGTTTTGGACTGCCTGGTTCTATTTAGAATGGAAAAATATAATTTTTTTTGTGACTCATGCAGTCTGTTTCATTTTAGAGGTATTTGGATAGGATTACAGATGGTGCTCCATGACTCCAAATACAGTTGTTGTTTTTTTTTAAGATTTTTTATTTATTTGACAGAGAGAGATCACAAGCAGGCAGAGAGAGAGAGAGAGAGAGAGAGAGAGAGAGGGAAGCAGGCTCCCTGCTGAGCAGAGAGCCCGATGCGGGACTTGATCCCAGGACCCTGAGATCATGACCTGAGCCGAAGGCGGTGGCTTAACCCACTGAGCCACCCAGGCGCCCCTCCAAATACAGTTTTAAATATTCAGTAGCCCTCTTCTAAGATTTTTGTTTAATTTCTCTCATTTAAAGTTAATAAGCACACAAGGTCTAGGGAGTTTAAGAGAGTTGAACCTAATAGACTATAGGTCAATTTGAGTCAGAGGATCATGCCACAAGGAGTTGAGATAAGCATTCACCTGTGCCAGTCACATTCTCTTGGGAGTGCTGCTCTGGGGATTTGCTCTCTATATTGGAATTATGACCGCACAACGCATGATCATTTGGCAGGTGAACTGGGAGAACCCAACACACCCCTGGCCTCTCCCAGGTGCTGTCTTGCTGTGCCCTGGCATTCTTGCTTTGAGGAGCATTTGTCCTAGCTACAGCTTTTTTTTTTTTTTTAACTTAATTTTTTCCCCTTGGACTAAATTAGATTTTTGAAGCAGTTCTGATAAGCATCAGAGCATACTGATAGCTGTTTCAGGTCTCATGAATTATGATGAATAAGGACCAGCTATTAACTTCAGACTTTTGGGGAGTCTAAGGTTGGCTTTGAGTATGTTGTTTTTCTGGAAGACGGAGCATTGTTGAAATTTCGTGTGATTGAATATATAAAAAAGAAAGGGTAAATCAGTGAAAGGAGAAGAGGGGAGAAAAGAAAGAAAGATGAGGGAGAAGTTATTCTCTTCCCCAGCCTCACCTCTCTCACCCCTGAAAGTGAGTTTTTACTTTCCAAGACCATCAAGTTTATATACCTGAGTTGCTTTCTTTTTGTAGGTTACCAGTGTGAGCCTTATAATAACCCTGCAGACTTCTTCCTGGATGTCATTAATGGAGATTCCTCTGCTGTGAAACTGAACAGAGAGGACCAAGACGGTGAACGTATGTGAATCTGTTGAGAGTCGCAGATTATTGTGAATGGAATTGGCTGAAGTTTAACCATGTGGCAGCTCAGGAAAACATGGCTTTGTGAATTTACATTTATGCTGTCCTCTGATAATAGTTGTCTTTGTCCGTTTGGGCTGCCTACCAAAGATACCATACACTAGGTGGCTTAGACAATAATCATTTATTTCTCACAGTTCTGGAGCCAGAAGTCTGAGGTGAAGGTACTAAAGACTCAGTATCTGTTGAGAACCTGCTTCCTGGTTCAAATATGGGTGAGCATCTTCTCGATGCCTCCTCACATGATGGAAGCAAGGAGGGGCCTCTTTTATAAGGGTTCTAATTTCATTCATGAGGGCTACACTCTCATATGACTTAATCACCCTTCAGATATGATCATATTGGGGATTGGGATTCAGCATATAAATCTTGAGGGAACATAAACATTCACTCTATAGCACTGGTCAACATAGATTTTGTTTTCCGTGATTGGTGTATTTTTGACTGAATGTATACACGAGTATTCATGTGATAGTGTCACTTTTAAGGGGAAATTTCATTAAAAATACCCATTTATATAATGTTTTGAAATAAGAAACTTGGCAATTTATATATTTACATATAGAAGAAAAGAAGGACCAGGTTTGTATATCAAGAATTATAACTCCTTCTGGTAAGAAGTCTATTTTAAAAGAATTAGGGTTCAAGTATTATAGTTAGGAGAAGGCAGTAGGTTTGCTGTATTCATGGGTTTATGGAAGCAGTCGGGCAATTAACCATTTTTCTAATATTGTAAAGCAATGACAGATCTAATAATTTTTTATGCTCAAGCATTAGAATTACGATGTTAGGGAAGAACCGAAGAAAGGGGTTACAGGAAAATGGACTAAGTCAGTTGTTATTTTATGAATAATGTTTCCCTTTTTTATCCACCTTTATTCCAAAGTCAAGGAGACTGAAGAACCTTCCAAGAGAGGTACTCCACTCATAGAAAAAATAGCTGAGTTTTATGCCAACTCTGACTTCCACAGAAAAACGAAAGATGAGTTAGATGAAATCCTAAAGGGTCAGAAAAGGAAGAGCTCAGCCTTAAAGGAGATCACCTATGCCACCACCTTCTGTCATCAACTCAGATGGATTTCCAAGCGTTCATTCAAAAACTTACTGGGTAATCCCCAGGCCTCTGTAGCTCAGGTAACCTGGCAGATTCTTTGGATTATGCTGGGACATAATCATGTGGGAGCATTAGGTTCTGATATAATCTATTAGGGTTATGCTTATCTTCTACTCAAGCTTCCATTTATTTATCCCCACTCCATTTGGGATATAAAAATAGACAACAGCATAAGTGAAACACCATGAAATTTTTACCTATGGAAAGCTTTTTTGGTGGGTTTTTTTTTTTTTTTTGGACTACCTAATTAAGACTTTTTGTTGATTTAGACTAGCTGTAATGGGTAATCTTTGTTGAAAAAATCTTTTCTTCAAAGATGGTGAAATAAAGGAAGTGTTTAGCCACATTTAGGGTTTTCAGGTGGCAGCACACATTCGTTTCCTGACTCATTCAGCAAGTCCTCATTGACTATGTGTGCATTTTGGGAGCTTGTATACAGGGGTGAACAAAATGGGTGAAAATAAAACTCCCGTTCTCATAGAACTTGTTTTCCTATGAGGAGTGACAGGTGACAAATTCATACAGTAATGAACTAGATAGCAAGTCATATGGTAAAAGGAGCTATGGAGAAAGTTGAAGCCCAGTGTGGGAGAAAGGAAGAGAAGAGAGAAAGAAAGGAGAGAGAGAGGGAGAGAGTGGAAGGGGGTTGATTGCATTTGAAGTAAGGAGGTCAGGGAAGCTGGCATCTAGATTCACTGAATGCAGCTGAAGGTCACAGGGCTCATCTGCCCTCTCAGGGAGGAGCCCATGTGCAAGGTCTTCCTCATCATTGACCTACTTCATTTAGGAGTTCTCATCTTAGGAAAGCACTAGGTACCTAAACAGTCGGCAGTTAACACAACATAGTAAGCAGGCTTGGATTCTACTAAATAAGGCTATTTGCTCTCCCATTAACTTTCTTTTGATGAAGAGGAAATCATGTTCTTTTCCCCTTTGGCTGGCTCTGTTGGTAGTTGTTGATTAGTACCCCCTTATTGTTGTTATTCTCAGGTGCTCTGTTCTACAAACCCCTAGTATTCCCAGTTCATTGGTCTATCCTTTTTTTTTTTTTTTTTAAACTTTACTGATGGACACAAATTAGAATTTCATCTAAATTTCATGTGGCAAGAAATAGTCTCCTTCTCTCACTCTTCGAGAAGAGTGGTAAAACCTGTTCTTAGCTAGAGGGCTGAACAGAAGTAGACTCTAGCTTACTGACCTTTGGTTTAGTGTTTTTAATCTGGTATATATGTTCACTTCTTTAAGTGTTTGAATGTGAGGCTATTAAACTGCTTTACGGCTCCCTGCTGATAAATCTCATGTTTGTAATATTACAGCCATGCTTAGATTTCAACTAGTCATTTATGTGGTTCAGACTTTGTTTCTGATAATGCCATTTAACTAAAGGTTGTATTTGGACGACCTTGGAGTAAATGGATCATCTGTATAAAAGGATTTAATGTTTTTTTAATGTGCCATGGGTTTTTCTCATCAAACCAATTTGGAAAACACTATCATAACTCTCAGAGATTCATCTTTATATTGGGATATTTAACATGTGACTATAGATTAGTTGTTTTTTTTTTTTAAGATTTTATTTATTTATTTGACAGAGAGAGACACAGCAAGAGAGGGAACATAAGCAGGGGGAGTAGGAGAGGGAGAAGCAGACAACCTGCTGAGCAGGGAGCTTGCTGTGGGGGTTGATCCCAGGACCTTGAGATCATGACCTGAGCTGAAGGTAGATGTGATTGAGCCACCTAGGTGCCCCCATTTTGTCAGTCTTAAAAACAAAAGTGATGTTTATGTAGTGTTCTTAGGAGTCCCCAAAGCGAGTAAGTGAATGCAGGTAAGAATGGCTAAGAAGCTTAGTTCTACACTGTTGGCTGTAGGTCCTTGGACTGAGGTTGCTAGAGGAGCTGTGACAAGAGAAAGGGCAGTGACAGCATTTGAGTGCCCTCAGAGAGAGCTGGCTGAATGCTTTGGTGGCTATGACTTTGCACTTTTCCAGTGCAGGCAAGCCCTGTCCTCTAGGTCATGTGGGTGGTCAGCTAACCCCTGTTTCCTTATCATGCAGAATAACATTGTTAGAATTTTTTTTTATGTGTGCTCAAAAAATTGTATTTATTTATAATGGTAAGAGTAAAGATATCCTGTTTTTACTTGTACTTCTTGAAATATAAAACTGCGTGTTCACTGGAACAAAAGGTTGAGAGTTCAGGTCAGAACTCTTATCCATTTGGACTTTACACTTCCAATGACTTAGCCAGATGCTTCCGTTGTTCTGCTGGCCTTCCCAGGCCTTGTAGCCTGAACTGGACCTTGAATTGGCCTGTGAATCACTGGGAGGATCCTTGGCATTTAGGGGGGTCTATTGTGTTCTGTCAGCCTCTCCAACATGGATCAATTATTTTTTAATTTAGAAAGCAGTCTCATAACATACACTGTTTTATATTCACCCAAGGACTTTGAACCACTGGAAGCATGTATCTCAATGGAGAAATTTGATTACATATCTTGTAATAATAAATGGTGTATTAAGTTTTTATCTTGCATTAAAACTTGTTTTTCTTTTTCTTTTTGAAAAGATAATTGTAACAATCATCCTGGGATTGGTTATAGGTGCCATTTTCTATGATCTAAAAAATGATCCTACAGGAATCCAGAATAGGTAAGTAAATTTGGATCTTGATTGTGAGAAAGTGCTATTACATCTTTCAAGTAATGAAAATTCATTAAGAATTTGAATTTGAGACAAGTACAGAGTCAACTGAGGATCAGGATAAGTCAGTGAATTGCAAGCTGAATGTGTGTGTGTATGTGGGTGTGTCTGTGTGTGTGTCTATATATATATGTAATTTGTACAGATTATACAGGTTGCTAATTTTTACTGTCTTGACCAGTTTTAAGCATATAGTTCAGTGACATTAAATACATTCACATTACTTTGTAAAAGAATTTATTTATTTATTTAGAGAGAGCGTGTGAGCATGGGGAGGGGTAGAGAGAGAATTTCAAGCAGAGTCTGCACTGAGTGCAGACCCTGATGTGGAGCTTGAGCTCATGACCCTGAGATCATGACCTGAGCCAAGATCAAGAGTCAGATATTTAACCGACTGAGCCACCCAGGCTCCCCAGTACATTCACATTATTGTACAACTATTACAACCATCCAACTCCAGAACTCTTCATCTTCCCAAATTGCATCTCTGTACATATTGAACAACAATTCCTCATTCTCCCTTTCTTTAGTGCCTGGAAACGGCCATTATACTTACTGTCTCTGAATTTTACTACTCAAGGTGCTCATATAAGTGGAACCATACACTATTTGTCCTTTGGTGACTGGCTCATTTTCCTTAGCATAGTTATCTTCAAGGTTCACCCATATTGTAGCATATGTCAGGATTTCTTTTCTTTTAAAGGCTGAATAATATTCCATTGTATGGAATACCATATTTGTTTATGCATTTCTCTGTCCTTGGACACTTGGGTTATTTCAGCCTTTTGGCTGTTGTGAATGTAGGGGAGGAAGAATTTCCTCTGCCATTCAGAGTCCTTCTAGTAGGACTAAGCATCACATTAACATGAGACAGATTAACAGGAGAAAATAAAATTTAATAGCATGTCTACAGGTAATCCACACAGACATGCAAATTCCAAAAGCAGTGAGATAAAATGATGCTTATATGAGTTAAGGAGAAGGGTGGTTAGGGTAAGGGAAGAAAGACCTTAGCAGAAAGTTGGGAGATGATGGTTGGAAAACAAAGGTTGCCCTCTTTATGCAAATAAGTTTCTTAGGCAAAGAGGCATCTTTCTTAATAGCTCTCTTCCTGGTGCAGTTTTTCCTTTCCAACGTAAATTTAGGCAGTTGAGGGGAAGGTAAGAAGTGTTTTTTTTTTAAAGAAGATTTTATTTATATATTTGAGAGAGAGAGAGAGAAGAGAGAGAGAGAGAATGAGAGGGGAGGGGTCTGAGGGAGAAGCAGACTCCCTGCTGAACACGATCCTGGGACTCCAGGATCATGACCTGAGGTGGTTGCTTAACCAACTGATCCATTCAGGCACCCCATAAGAAGTTGTTTTTGTTTTGTTTTGTTTTTTTAATTTATTTGACAGAGAAAGCACACAAGTTCATGCACAAGCAAGGGGGAGAGGCAGACAGAAGTAAAGGGAGAAGCAGGCTCCCTGCTAGGAATCATACTCAGGGCTTGATTCCAGGGCCCCAGAATCATGACCTTAGCTGAAAGCAGATGCTTAAATGACTGAGCTACCCAGGTGCCCTGAGATGAAAAGTTTTCTTGAGTCTGCAGGTCTTGAATGCTTTTTTTTTTTTTTTTGATTGCTTTTAACTCAAAATAATTTTCATGTTGCTGTGACCCCCATCTTGGAGTGGCCTGCCCTTTGCCCCTCCTTGAGCAATGCTGCCATGCACGTGGTTGTACAAATAAATATCTATTTAAATCTCTGTTTTAAATTCTTTTGGATTTATACCCAGAAGTCGAGCTATTGGATTATTTGAAATATTTTATCTTCCACAGCAGTTGTATCATTTGACATTCCTACCAGCAGTGCACAAGTGTTTTAATTCCTCTACAGCCTTACCAAACAGTATTTTCTGTTTTTTTTTTTTTCTTTTCTTTTCTTTTTAAAATAATAATAGCCATCCCAATTGGTGTCAGGTGATGTGGTTTTTGATTTGCATTCCCCTCATGATTAGTGATATTGAGAACCTTTTCTTTTATTTTCTTTTTAAAGATTTTATTTATTTATTTGAGAGAGAATGAGTGAGGGAGAGCATGAGAGAGGAGAAGGTCAGAGGGAGAAGCAGACTCCCTAAGGAGCTGGGAGCCTGATGAGGGACTGGATCCTGGAATTCCGGGATCATGACCTGAGCCGAAGGCAGTCACTCAACCAACTGAGCCACCCAGGTGCCCTATTGAGAACCTTTTCATGTGCTTATTGGACATTGTGTATCTTCTTTGGGGAAATCTTCTTTGGAGAAATCCTTTGCCCATTTTTTAATTGGAGATTTAAATTATTGAACTGTAAGTGCTCCTTATATATTCTGGATATTAATCCCTTATCAGGTCTAAATTTGCAAATATTTTCTGACATTCTGTGAATCATCTTCACTGTTGAGAGTGTCCTTTGACACAGTTTTAAATTTTGATGTAGTCCAGTTTATCTGTTTTTTCTTTTGTATGTAAATAATTTTTTTCTATTTTTTTTATTTGTTTGCTTTGGGGAGGTGGATGACACTCAGGTTTTTCTGTTATATGGTTAGCACTTACGTTCATTTACCTTACCGAGTTTTAGTCATCATGTGCCCTTAAAAATATTTTTTCATGAGATTTTGTAATGGGCTCTAGCATGTTCTGAATGTCTATGCTCAGCAGTGTCAAAGACTGCAGACTTCTCCTTATACTTCATGTAGAAAGCTGTTCTGTGCCAGGCACTATGCTCTGTGTTTTAAACCATGGATACGGATTTCTGCCCCAAGAGATGGGGGTGTTATCCCCATTTTGCCAAAAGGATATGAGGAAAGTTGCAGTAGCTTATGTTGAATCTGTTTTGATGTCGGATTGTTTATGAAAGAAAGATTAAGCATAAAATTCAATTCCTCACTCAAGTAAAATAAATTATCTCCTGTATGGGATCAGATAGTGTTACTCCATGTTGAAATTATTATGGAAGCTTATTTCCAGAGCTATATCACTGCTATTCCCTTTACTTTCTCTGAAGGGTGTGGGGTTCTCTCACTTGCTTCCAAGCTTGCTAGTCATTGATGATCTGTACCCATTGTAGATGCCGTATTTTTACCAAGCACAGAATATAGGTCACAGGATCTATTGCCCATGAACCTTTTGTGTTGTGCAGTGGGAAGTATTTGGAAAAGTATTGAAAAACCTGTCCTCAACTGGAATTTTAAAGAGGAATTGGGTATCTAACCATTAGACTTCTTGGTAGAAGAATCCAGAGAAATAAAGAGGTTTAGCAGTTTCTTCAAATGTTTTCTGGAGAAATAGTTCTTTGGATTTATTTTAATTTGTATTTTTGACATAAACTTGCTGCCACTCTTTTGTCATTTGAAATTGCTCAGGAGGCCAGTGGTTTGGTTCTCTTTGGGAATGAATTATCCCAAAGACGTGCTCTTGACTCCATTTCTTTCTTCCTTCCTTTCTTCCTTTCTTTCTTTCTGTCTGTCTGTCTTTCTTTCTTTCTTTCTTTTTTAAAGATTTTATTTATTTATTTGACAGACAGAGATCACAAGTAGGCAGAGAGGGAGGAAGGAAAGCAGGCTCCCTGCTGAGCAGGGAACCTGATATGGGGCTTGATCCCAGGACCCTGGAACCATGACCTGAGCCAAAGGCAGAGGCCTTAACCCATTGAGCCACCCAGGCGCTCCTCTCTAACTAACAAGCTGGGTTTAATTTGTATGTAGTGTATGAGCTTCTGTGGCCTAATATTTACCTTACAGGCTTGTGGTGGTAGCTAAACAAATTAATATAAACAGAAAAGATATTTTAAAAAATATTTGGATCAATAAGTAGATATTACAGTCATGGATTACCTGTGTGAAAAGAATTTGAGTACCTTGCATTATTTAGCAATAAAAACTATTTACTATAAAACAAACCATATGATTTAGAAGTAATAGCAGTATCTCCTAGTTCAAAATCATGATGAACATAACAGTGTTATGGATATAAGGCTTAACAAATTGAACTAAATTGTTGCGTGTCCCATCTTTCTTTCTTCTTGTTCTCTTTCTTTCTTTCCTTCTTTCTTTCTTTCTGTATGTCCCTTATTTCTGAAATTAGCTTTTACTTTGCTAGTAGACTTACTTGTGTGGAAAAAGTTACATAGCCTCCTGTGTACCAGGTCTGGCTATTTTCTGTTCATTAATTATTGTATAAACATTTACTTATAAAACAGTCTGTTCTCAAAAATAAATAAATAAATAAAAATAAAACATTCTGTTCTCTCAGTTCTTTCTTTTTTGGTGTTAAAAACAATTACTAAGTGTCTGTGAACTTTTTTTTTGAGAGGCTGTACACTTGGGTTTATATTTTTAAAAATGTTCTCTCGTATTCTTGTGTCATTTAAATGATGGGTCACTTTAGCTCTTTCAGTGTCAACTCAAGTCCTCAATGTCAATGAAATGGTTTGGTTATAAAGGGAAGCCCAACACCAGTTGGGCTTGCTTTCATAACATGCGTTTGTGTAGCAAAGTGTAGATTAACTGTGACTTTCCTTTTAAAGCCTTATTTTACTGAGAAAGAAGCATTAGTAGTCTTCCTTTTCCTACAGGTACACAGATTTTTCCTTTATAAACATCATTTTGTTTTCTCTTTTTTTTTCTTTTTAAAGCTTTTATTTATTTATTTGACAGACAGAGATCACAAGTAGGCAGAGAGGCAGGCAGAAGGGTGGGGGGAGCAGGCTCCCCGCTAAGCATAGAACCCGATATGGGGCTGGATCCCAGGACCCTGAGATCATGACCTGAGCCGAAGAAAGAGGCTTTAGCCCACTGAGCCACCCAGCTGCCCTTGTTTTCTATCTTGAGCATGTTGGAAACCATTTTGGTGTGGCTTGTCAAGGACAACATCAAGGCTCTCGACAGTTGTGGGCTGATATGATGTGATCTCTGTCTGTCAAATAAATAAATAAATAAATCTTTAAAAAAAAAAAAAGGTGGCTGATAGAGGTTTTTAAGCTTTGCAGGCTTTATTTGGTTCACTCCCTCTCCCTTCATACATTAGGAAAGGTACTTGTTGCTGTTGTTGTCATTTTTTTTTTTAAGATTTTATTTATTTATTTGACAGAGAGAGAGAGAGAAAGAGATCACAAGTAGGCAGAGAGGCAGGCAGAGAGAGAGGGGGAAGCAGCCTCCCTGCTGAGCAGAGAGCCCGATGCGGGCCTCGATCCCAGGACACTGAGACCTGACCTGAGCTGAAGGCAGAGGCTTAACCCACTGAGCAACCCAGGCGCCTGATACTTGTTGTTTTTGTTAGTTAAAATTCAAGATGATAATATTTTTATGACCTACGTATTCATCAGCACAGACTGCCATCCCAAAGAACCATAGGCTGTGTGGCTTAAACAATAGTCTAAACAACAATTTCTTATACTTCTAGAGATCAGGATCTAGAGATCCATGGTCAGGTTCCGATGAGAGCTATCCTCCTGGCTCACAGGTGGCTACCTTCTTTCTGTGTCCTCACACAGCAGAGCGTGCACTCTGTTGTCTCTCCCTTGTCTTTTATGGGCGCTAATCCCATTGTGAGGGCCCTACCCTCATGACCTCATCTAAATCTAATTACCTCCCAAATACACTGTCTCTAAATATCATCACGTTGAAGGTTCGGGCTTTAACCTAGGAATGTGGGGGAGAACCCAGTTTAATCCATGGCAGCCCAGGACAATGACTTCCAGACTATGCTTTGTGGACTCTGAGGGGTACCACTGTGGATACCCGGAGATTGTGGGGAGAAGGCTGATGGCACGCATACTTCCCTGTTTTGACCAGAATAATTTCTATTTAATGTTATGAGGTATCCTTTGAGGAGATCATTTTGCAGTTAGAAAATTGACCTAAGAATGTTCCATTGACTGCAGTGCTTCCCCCCGACCCCCCACTTTTCTCTCATTGCAGGTCAGGGGTGCTCTTCTTCCTGACGACCAACCAGTGTTTCAGCAGTGTGTCAGCTGTGGAGCTCTTTGTGGTCGAGAAGAAGCTCTTTATGTGAGTAGGTCTCTGTTCCAGGAAGGGGGCTCTCCGGTATCAGGGGCTGTTGGTCAAACTGGTCATATCCAGTGTTGGGCCACAGCTTGGTTCCTGGGAATTGCCCACGTTAATTGAGAAAAAGCAGCCAGAGGTTGTGAGGACAATCGTGAGCGTGTAGGGCTTGATACTAAGGGGAAAAGGCAGAGCCAGCAAATCCAAATGCAGAAAAAGCAAGCGATAAAAGGGCAAAAAAGGATCTTTTTTTTTTTTTTTTTAAACAAATGAGAAGTCATGATGGCCCACACAGGCAAAGTCAGAGGGGCTTAGTAGAGAGAAAGTAGTAGGCTGAGCAGTAAATATAAGGTGTGGAGGTCAAGCTGACAAAGAATGTGGACCCAACTTAGCCCTCAATGGGAGGGAAATGGAAGGAGCCAAAGGGCAGCCTTAAAATAAAGTAAGGGCTCTTTTGTTTCTTTTGTTTTTCAAAGTTGGACAAGATTTGCCATATTCCCATACTGAAGAAAGGAATCATTCCAGAGGGAAAGAATGATATTGGTGGAGGAGTTTGGAATTACAGGAGGAAGATTCAGGAAGAGGAAGGGATCTAGAATTGGAGAGGGAAGGAAGCAGGATTTGACAGGGATGTGTGGTTGAAAGGTGTGATTGTTGAAGGAAGAAGTGCCGTTTTCTTTTTGTCATGAGAGTTGAATAAGTGATCCAGGGCTGCTTTAGGAAGCTTGGAGGATAGCGGAGCCTCCACCTTCATAATCAGAAGTGGGAAGAAAGTAAAGCCTCTGCCGTAACCGAGCTCAGCTACTGGAGTGCTATTCTTCAAGGAGAGCCAGTGTTGGAAGAGAGGAAGGAGATGCAGATCTGCTCACTGGGAGTGGGCACTCAGGGAGCAGAATGGATGGCATCCAGAGGGAGTTCTATAATGAGAAGAGGGGTATTACACAGACTCGTGTGGGGGTGACAATACAGGTGAGGCTCACACCCAAGATGGCCTGATGCTGACAGGATGGAGGTTCACCTCAAGGATGTGAGAAGCTGTAGTCATTCGACCCTTGGTGGTGGCGGAAGTCTGTAGGTAAGCAAGCAGCCCAATCTGGTTCCTGCTTTTCTTAACTAATGTAGGATGAATTTTTCTTTTTTAGACATGAGTATATCAGTGGATACTACAGAGTGTCATCTTATTTCTTTGGAAAACTGTTATCTGATTTACTACCCATGAGGATGTTACCAAGTATTATATTTACTTGTATAATATACTTCTTGTTAGGTAAGCAGTATGACAAAAGGTTTGTGTCTTTACTCTTCAATATGAGGGCAAGCCAATTTCTTTTTATCAGCTTCATTTTGGTTCTCAAACTCTAAACCAAGCCAGTGAGATAAGGAGACATCTATCCACATGCATACTCTGAAATAACTGTTCTCTGAGGACATTTTTGTCAAGACTTGTCCTAAACTAACTTTTTAAAAAAAATATTTATTTATTTATTTGACAGAGAGAGAGAGAGAGAGATCACAAGTAGGCAGAGAGGCAGGCAGAGGTGGAGGGGAAGCAGGCTCCCTGCTGAGCAGAGAGCCCGATGCGGGGCTTGATCCCAGGACCCTGGGATCATGACCTGAGTTGAAGGCAGAGGCTTTAACCCACTGAGCCACCCAGGCGCCCCCTAAACTAACTTTTAAAACTACTTATAAACCTCAATTTGACTGAAAGATGCTGTGTGTCATTTATCAACATGGAAAGAATTCACAAAACAATTTGAGACTATGATAGAGGAGCTGGGATACTTACTACGTATTTATATTTTTATTATTATATGTGTCTGTGTGTTTACACATAAAGATAGTGAAAGATCGTGACTTTCAGGGCTTCCTGGTTTAATACAAATACTTGTTCGATAGGTGTAGTTAGATTCATTTGTGTACGAGGCTCATTGTATCAGAATGTCCTTACATTTTTACTGAGGCATAAACACACATATCAGACATACATCTTTTATTTAAAAATATATATATAAGTAAAGCACTACAGAAGAAAACCAACTGATTGAGTTTAAACTTCCATTTTATAAGTAAGAGGTGTGTCATGAAGAATTGGGCGTAGAACCTAGATCCTCAGACTTTTGACAGCTGTTCCAAAACCTTCAGATTGTGTGATCTATAGTATTAGTCCATTATCATTTATAAAGTAGTTTTAGGAAATTTATTTAACCCCACCCTCAATCCCAGAATTATATGGTGCTTTGTCTTGGGGGACTTGGAATGTGGAGACATTCCCCCAGATATTGAAACCACTGGGAGGTCACCTAATCTTCCCAGTTTCTTTACTCAATGTGGTGATAGCAAACAGTCATGTGGTGATGTTTGAGTAAAAAAAAATATGCTCTTGACAAGTTTTGTTCTTAGAAGAAAAGGCGATAGAATTGGAGCCAGTTGTGTTGCCTGGAGCCCTCCATCTCAAGCACTCAGAAGTTGTTAATAATTACACATAAAGGAGGAGCAGAGATGTTACACAGAAATGCGCTTATGCAACAAGTATAAAAAAGAAACTATGATAACTTTATACAGTAATGTGGGGGGGGCTGGTAATGAAATTGGTGACCCAAGGTGGTCGAATAGAGGATGAATATTCTTCATTCTGGTATTAGTTTCTCAAAATATTATAGTGCTTTGCATAGGAAGCAATCCCAAATACACAGTTACCTTGGCAGGTGGATTCAACCCCTTCTTTCCTTCCCAACTAAGGCTTGAAACCAGTTGTGGAGGCCTTCTTCGTCATGATGTTCACCCTAATGATGGTGGCTTATTCGGCCAGTTCTATGGCACTGGCCATAGCAGCAGGCCAGAGTGTGGTATCCATAGCGACACTTCTCATGACCATCTCCTTTGTGTTTATGATGGTGAGTAGGAACTGTGCTTCTCTGAGAAGTAGTTATTTCCCCTTGTTCCTTCCCACAGATTTACCTGTTACCTAAACCTGCTTTGAGGATCCTGTAAATGGGATTCTGTGCTTTAAGGAGACCATGTATTGAGGGATAGCTTATATTAGAGAATATACAGATTTTTCTTGGCATTACCCAGCCTTTTTGGCTACTGTTCTAATATAATTGCTATAACTTTAGTTAACATTTTGTTACACGTGAGTTCTTTTTTTTTTTTTTTTTAAAGATTTTATTTATTTATTTGACAGACAGAGATCACAAGTAGGCAGAGAGGCAGGCAGAGAGAGAGGGGGAAGCAGGCTCCCTGATGAGCAGAGAGCCCGATTTGGGGCTCGATCCCAGGACCCTGAGATCATGACCTGAGCCGAAGGCAGAGGCTTAACCCACTGAGCCACCCAGGCGCCCCACACGTGAGTTCTTAAAAGATGCTTCTTGGGTGACGTATAGTGAAACCTTGATAAACTGAAACTTCAAAAACCAAACTAGACTTTAAAACCAAAGACTGTAACAGGAGATGAAAAAGGACACTGTATCATGATAAAGGGGACAGTTCAACAAGAAAATCTAACAATTGTAAATCTTTATGCCCCCAATACGGGAGCATTCAAATATATAAAACAATAACAGACATAAAGGAACTCATTGATAATAATACAATAATAGTAGGGGACTTTAACACCCTACTTATAGCAGTGGACAGATCCATCTAAGCAGAAAATCAACAAGGAAACAATGGCTTTGAATGACGCACTTGACCAGATGGACTTAACAGATATAATCAGGACATTTCACCCTAAAGCAACAGAATGCACATTCTTTTCAAGTGCACATGGGATCTATTCTCCAGAATAGATCACATACTAGGTTATAAATCAGTCCTCAATAAGTACAAAAAGGTTGAGATCATACCATATGAGATCATACCCTACATATTTCTGACCACAACACTATGAAACTTGAAGCTAACCACCAGAAAAAATTTGGAAAGACTACAAATACATGGAGGTTAAACAACATTCTACTAAATAATCAATGGGTCAACCAGGAAATCAAAAAATTAAAAAAATACATGGAAACAAACGAAAATGAAAACACAATGGTCCAAAACCTTTGGGATGCAGCAAAAGCAGTCCCAAGAGGGAAGTATATAGCGATACAGGCCTACCTCAAGAAGGAAGAAAAAAATCTCAAATAAACAATCTAACCTTATACCTAAAGGAGGTATAAAAAGAACAACAAATGAAGCCTAAAGCAAGCAGAAGGAAGAAATATTAAAGATTGGAGCAGAAACAAATGATATAGAAACTAAAAAATACCCGGTAGAACAGATCAATGAAATCAGGAGCTGGTTCTTTGAAAAAATTAGTAAAATTGGTATACCCATAGCTAGACTTATCAAAAAGAAAAGAGAAAGGATCCAAATAAATAAAATCACAAATGATAGGGGAGAAATAACAACACCACAGAAATACAAACAATTCTAAGGGAATATTATGAAAAAATATACACCAACAAATTGGACAACCTGGAAGAAATGGACAAATTCCTAGAAACATAAAACCTACCAAAACTGAAACAGGAAGAAATAGAAAACCTGAACAGACTGATAACCAGCAAAGAAATTGAATCAGTCATCAAAAATCTCCCAACAAACTGGAGTCCAGGGCCAGAGGATTTCCCAGAGGAATTCTACCAAACATTTAAAGAATAGTTAATACCTATTCTTCTCAAACTATTCCAAAATATAGAAATGGAAGGAAAAGTTCCAAACTCATTCTACGAGGCCAGCATCACCCTTATTCCAAAAAAAAACAAAAGACTCCACTGAAAAAGAGAACTACAGGCCAATCTCTCTGGTGAACATGGATGGAAAAATGCTTAGTATAATACTCACAAACTGAATCCAACAGTACATTAAAAGAATCATTCATCACAATCCCATGGGATTTACTCCTGGGCTGCAAGTGTAGTTGAGTATTTGCCAATCAGTCTGCATGATTCATCACATTAATAAAGGTGAGGATAAGAACTATATGCTTCTCTCAGTTGATGCAGAAAAAGTATTTGACAAAGTACAGGATCCCTTTTTAATAAAAAGCATCAACAAAGTAGGGATAGAGGGAACATATCTCAACATCATAAAGGCCATATACAATAAACCCACAGCCAGTATTGTTCTCATTGGGGAAAAACAGAGCTTTTTCTCCATGGTCAGGAACAAGACATGGATGTCCACACTCACCAGTGTTATTTAACATAGTACTACAAGTCCTATCCTCAGCAATCAGACAACAAAAAGAAATTAAAGGCATCTAATCAGTAAAGAAGAAGTAAAACTTTTACTGTTTGCAGACATGATACTCTATAGTAAACTCAGAAGACTCCACCAAAAAATTGCTAGAACTAGAACATGAATTCAGTAAAGTCACAGGATACAAAGTCAATGTACAGAAACCTATTGCATTTCTATACACCAATAATGAAGCAGCAGAAAGAAAAATCAGGGAATTGATCCCACTTATATTTGCACCAAGAATCATAACCATCCAGTAATTGCACTACTAGGTATTTACTCAGAGGAGGGAGAAATACTGGTTTGAAGGGATACATGCACCCCTATATTTGTAAACACATTATCAACAATAGCCAAATTATGGAAAGTGCTTAAATGTCAACTGACTATTGAATGGATAAAAAGATGTGATATATAGACAGAATGGAATATTACTCAGCCATCAAAAGAATGAAATCTTGCTATTTCATCTCATATGTGGATTTCTTAAGTTCCACATATGATTTCACTCATATGTGGAACTTAAGAAACAAAACAAACGATCTTAGGGGGAAAAAAAGAGGTGAACCAAGAAACAGACTTAACTATTGAGAGGCAGACTGAAGTGGTTAGGTGGTTGGGTTACATAGGTGATGGGGATGAAGGAGGGCAGTTGTGACGAGCACCAGGTATTGTATGGAGGTGTTGAATCATTAAATTGGGCACATGAAACTGATATTACACTGTATGTTAACTAATTGGAATTTAAACAGAAACATCTAAAAAAAAAAAAACCCCACAAAACCCAGAAAAATTTTGATTGTAAGATTGTCTCATAAAAACATCAGGTTAATTGCCCAACTTCTGTGCTCGTGTTAGAGAACCATTGACTTATTTAAGCAGTGACTTAATGGTTTGGCTGGATATACTCCCCTCCAAGGGAGTAGCTAAGCTCCATGAGAAGTAGAACAGTTTGCAGTGTGGGTAGTCTATCTTGGGTCCCTCCTGTATTTTGAAAAGGGGTGTTTTAAAAATACTGAAAAGTTCCAAAGTCCACACAGTACTGTCTCCTCCCTTCTGGGTTCCTGATATTCTCTTATACCAATATATTTCTGCCTACCTTTTTTTAAATGGTTACTGAAGCCTAACCTTACGTGTCCCTTAATTTTCCCTGTACATAGACGAATCAGTAAGCGAATCAGCTAGTTACCACCTTGCCCCTTAACGTCAAGTGAACAGGAACGTTAGCCTGTTTACTTAATACATGTGTTTTTTTTTCTGTTAGAGTAGGAGAAGCACAACATAATTGTGCTAATTATGCTCTTTAAAAGGAGCATAATTAGCACAAATTTTTGCCAAAGTTTAAGTCTTCCATTTCTGAGTTTGACATCTATCGATCTAACCGTTATTGAGAACGTGATAAACCTTCCCATATGTTTTCTATCATGTTATCCAATAAATAATGTGTCATCGATTTATAAAAATGTTCTGCATAATGTATTAGATACTTCACCTTATTGTTATTTAGAAGTTTGTATATAGATCCTTTAAAACCAGTCATAACACCACATTTTCCTCAGAGATGCAGTGTGTCCTCTATTAAGCACCTGGTTAAGTCAAGTTTAAGAATACGTAGTCACTCCAACATTGTCATTGTTAGGTCTATCCCAGCATACTGCCAGTTAAAAGTTAAATATAAACCTCTTCTCACGTAGCCATCTGTTGCTGGCCTCAGTCCTTCACCATAAGACGGCTTTTTGGTAGCTTTAAATGAAGGTATTCACCATATGTTAGGCTGTACTTCACCGTGTTATTCTGTGTATCAGTTCCAGGCTTTGGGTTATTTTAAGCATGCATCCCGAACGCCAGATTATTTCTATAATCACGCGGAGATAGAATGCAAGCCCTTGTAAATAACAGATCTTACTGTGTTAGGGAAGTAGAGAGGGGCAGGAGATGTTCAGGATCTGCCCTGGTAAGTTTCTTGGTGTGAGCATAGAGTGGTGGTATCGCTGGGACAGTCAGCACTTTATTGACCTTTCATCATGGGCAGTCACCAAAAGTAAAAGCCTTGACAATGAAGGGTCTTCCAATTAGATGACGTAGGTATTAGAGATATGTTGTCGTTCCTTTAGAACCACAAACAGCCTCAGCTCTAGCGGGGCATACGTAAGCAAAGGGAAGTCTTAGAAGAAATGTTTGTGAAGGTTGTAGGGGACTCAGAAATTATTCCCTGTAATTCGCCATGAAATCTCTTCACCAGGTCTGATTCTTGGCATTTGCTTTTTGTAGATATTTTCGGGGCTGTTGGTAAATCTCAGAACCGTTGCGCCTTGGCTTTCCTGGCTTCAGTACTTCAGCATTCCTCGATATGGCTATGCGGTAAGTTTTCCTCATCTGTCCTTGTGACTGCTTCATTGTTCCCAAGCTAGGAACAACCAGAATAAAGCCTGCCAACATCATCACCCTAGCCATGAACTGTGAAAGTCTCCCAGCGGTTTCATTTTCCGAGTGATGAAGAAGAGTTTCACCTCCATCATCCCCTGAGGTTTCCCCAGTCACTCTGCTGTCCGAGGGAGCTGAGGGGTGGAAAGAGAACTCCACAGAAAGGAGAAAGATCGACTAATGGATATGAAAAACTGTCGTTGGATTTCAGTTCCATATGAAAATAGATGAGGGGGGGCTTGAATATATATTTTATATTGAAATTAGAAGAAAAAGAGCATATAATACAGCTACTCTATTGGCTTTAGAAAAAGCTCATGAAATCCACAGAAAACTGTGTCTTAATATAGTACGATTGGGTTTCTAACTCCCAAGAATTAGCACTGGTTTTGATGAAAATAAAGAGGAACAATATAAAAGGTTCTTAAATAGATGCTGTAAATTAACAACAGTCATTGACTACCGTTTTATGATTTTAATCCCACTGTTTGTGGGAGTATAAAATTAGGAGGAGGAAGGAGCTATGGGTAGGATAGCCACAGGTCTCCCCACTTTGCCAAATACTTTTTACAGCCTTTGTTTTAGAAGCCAAAATCCCAACATAGGCCACCCTTTTAGTTGCCAGGGAAAATAATTTTAACTGTTCTGATGTAACCAAGACCATGAATGTGAAGCTTCGTTTGTTTTTAGGAATAGCAGTAAAGATTAAACTAGGAGGACATGATCATTCTCTGGAGACTTTTTGAAATTTAAAACTATTTACCTTGTCCCATCCCCCCTGTGTTATAGGCTTTGCAGCATAATGAATTTTTGGGACAAAACTTCTGCCCAGGAGTCAACGTAACAGGGAATGATACCTGTAGCTATGCGATGTAAGTTTGTACTGAGTGTCAGAATGGATTTGCTTACTCTTGGGTTGTCATGTAGAAAGGCCACTGGACCATGTGGCTGCTGAGGGTCCTTCTACTGCAAACCAGTGCACAGTGCATGTCTCCTTGATGTTCTACTATAGTCCAAGTTATAGTTAAGTTGGGGAAATGTTTCTGATATGTTGTTCATTTGGGGCCATTTTAAAATGCTGTTTTGAGTTGTGGGTTTTAGCTTTTATTTTCAGAACACCTGAGTTTGAAAATGAACTGCTTTGATATTTTTGCAAAGCCTTAGGATATTGGAATTCATGGATTATGGGAAGTGTACAGATTCATGAACTTACAGCTTCTTGGAAACCCAGCCCGAGGCCAGGAGCAGAACATTTTCCTGGCACAATCGAGGCACCTGCCCCTTCCTCCTGCACTTAAATAGGAGACATTATGAAATCGAAGTCTGCACAGCTATTTTTTTTTTCTTTTAAACTGACTTGGAATACCCTTATTAAAGCATGTGCCCTCTAAAGAAGGAAACACATTTCAGTCATGAGAAAGAAGTCACATTTATTGCATAGTGTCACTAAAACAGAAATGCAGATTTCCATAAAATCAAGAGGATGTTTTAAAAACTGAATAACACTTTCCTTATCCATGATTGTTGTTAACGGTTTGACTTTGATACATTAACTAATGAAAGAAAAGAGAATGCTGGTATCCAGAATCTTATGGACCTTCATGAAACAATTCTTAGTAACAGGACACATTGCTAGTTTGAAGTATTTCTAGAAAACCTCTGCAAAGAGAAGCTTTCTTTATCCTGCCCACTCTCTGTCTTTTGTCTGGGCCTAACACTATTTTTTTTGAACTGCCAGATTTCAAGAGTTGCACAAAAATGGGGTAACAGGGAATAATTAAGGCTGTATCAGGTGTTTTTAGTGCCAGGTGCTTTTCTAAACGGTGCCAGGGCTACCCCACCCTGTTCTGCTTCAGCTGCCACTGAGGCTTCCCCCTCATTAAGGGGCCTGCTGGTGACGGCTTGCAGCCAGGCATCTGCTGGGCTCATTCCAGTCCTGGGGCAAGAGTGGATGGAACTGCAGTGGTGCCAGGAAGCCCTTGCTCACCTCTCTTCCCAGCTGCAAAATTCTTAGCCTGTGTTCGTTTGCATGGCTGATTTGTGGGTGATGAGTTCTAGAAAGCGCTTCGACCGTCTCGGTAATAATGTCATCTGTTATCTCTTGATGCCATCTGTTAAAACTGAGGTTTACCCCATCAGGAGTGGGGGCAAATTACTTGATTAATGTTTCTGCCCTTTAAAGAGAACAGCATCATAGATCTGGAAACAAATGAATTTGCAGAGATTAGCAACTTGGTTCACAGTGTGAGTCTGTGGCCTTGGACCTAAGTTCCTTAAACTTTAGCCTCTTTATCTTTTACTTGTATATCTGAACCCCCACTGGGTTGTTTTAGGGATTGACTAAACTGTTACATGTGGGTTGCTCAACATAGTATCTAGCGGATTTGTAAGCACTCATTGTCTATTACCTACTATATATAAAGGCATAGTCATTTGAGCCTTGGTAACCAATGGGAGGAGTGAATTAATTAATTAATTAATTTTGGTTAAAGAGTTTATTTATTTATTTGACAGAGAGAGAGAGAGAGATCACAAGTAGGCAGAGAGGCAGGCAGAGAGAGGGGGAAGCAGGACCCTGAGATCATGACCTGAGCCAAAGGCAGAGGCTTAACCCACTGAGCCACATAGGTGCCCCGGGAGGAGTGAATTTAATTGAGTAAAATTTGGCAAATGCTAAGAATGAAGTCATATTCTTTTTCTGTTGAATTTCAGATGTACTGGCGAAGAATTTTTGCTCAACCAGGGCATCGATATCTCCCCATGGGGCCTGTGGAAGAATCATGTAGCCTTGGCATGTATGATTGTTATCTTCCTTACAATTGCCTACCTAAAATTGTTATTTCTTAAAAAATATTCCTAAATTCCCCTTTAATTTACATGATTGATCCATACATTAAAAAGGGAGCGTCTTGACATTTTAAGTTTTCAGAACTGTTTCTGTTGTCTTTTCCTTTGGCATTGTACCGTTCAGCAAGAATTATTTTCAGCACAGACAACCACAGACACCACGACGAACTGAGTTATACACAAAAGAACCCAGGTCATAAACTAGTGCTGTGAGGAACTGCATATCAGTTCATCTAATCACACAGTAACCACGGGGGGAAGCATCTAGGTTAATTTGGCGACCTAAAAAAGAACTGAATTCTAGGAACTAGTGATGGGTTCTGAACATCTGTGACACCAGTTTCCTCATCTTTAAAACAAGGAGAGGTTCGTTGCCCTCCAGCTCCACCACTGTTCAAATCTAGGATCTGCTGTTATTTAGTAAATAGTAACAACAAACACAGAGATGCAGCGGTGGAAGTATGAAGTCTAAACAGTATTGGAAAAACCCGGTGTGATTCATGGGGTAAAAACAGCTGTTATGAGAGAAGCAGCTTTGCTGAGCCTTTGAAGTTATGAGAACTTACTGCGATGGCTCTGTTGTGGAATCAGAACACAACAGGGGGCTCGGCTAGCCTCTGGACCAGGTGTGGAGGGCCGGCGATTTGCAGCCGTGCTGGGGCAGGTCAGGGGTCTGTGACCTGTGTGCGTGTCACAGCTGCACCCTGTGCACCCGGCTGCGTCAGCGCTTCTGGGGCTGTTCCAGGTAGAATGGTCTGCGCCAGGACCTGGGAGCCACCAAGATCCTTCCCGGCTCCAAAAACTTGAATTTAGAATACCCTAACTGTCATAACCGCCCCCATACAGAGGTCTGCATTCCCACATCGACATCTCCTAGTCCCAGATTCTCCCTTCATTCTAACCTTTATCGGTACCGGGGAAGTATTTCTTCACTTTTTTAATGGCAGGGTAACGTAGGGAAAGGTCGAGTCCAGTGAATAATCGTAAAGGGAACACGCTGGTGCAACTACAGAACATGATGGGCCCATGGGAGCCCCCCTCGCACCCCATTCCCATCACCACTTCCTTCTCTCTGGGCTGTTTCTGAAATGACGTTGGCATACTCCTCTCTGTTGCTGTTATCACGTGTCGTGACAGCTGAGTTTCGTGGCCCTGTGTGCACAGTTACATCCTTATTTTAAGTCCCTCCTGCCCCTTTTTAGGGAAGTGTTAATTTTGGAATGATTTTAGATTTAGAGAAAAGTTGCAAAGACAGTATGGAAGAGTTCCCATGGGCCCTTTGCCCAGCTTTCCTTAATGTTAACATTTATAGACCACGGCACATGTCAGAAGAAAGAAATTAACATTATACGTTGTTACTATTTAAACCACGCTCTTTATTCAGACTTCACCACTTTCACACTAACATGCTTTATTCCAGGATCCCTTTCAGGAGATCACATTGCAACTAACCCCCCTTTTATAAAAAGTCAACACTAGTCAGTATTCCTAGGAATTCAGTGAGCCTGAGGATCACCGGCGCAGACTCGTTGTGACTGCTCATTTTCGAGTATCAGTCAGTGTTAGTGGGAGCCCTGCCATATTGGCGCGATAACAGTCTAGGGACATAGCATTATATTTCTAAGAAACTTTTTAAAAATGACATTTGATTGATGCATCATCTTGTAACATATGATAACACACTCTTTTTACCTGATTAGTACGTGACCATCAGGGTTAATCAGTTTTTCCTGTTCTTGGTATAGAACCCTGGCTTCCTCAGACTTCTCTGTAAACACTCTTCCCTCATTATACAGAGAATAATATATATCTGTATTTTATGTACAAAATACACTTGAGGAAGAAACAAAACAAATATATTGGTATCTTTATAAAAAGAATTTAGGGCGCCTGGGTGGCTCAGTGGGTTAAAGCCTCTGCCTTCGGCTCAGGTCATGGTCCCAGGGTCCTGGGATCGAGTCCTGCATCGGGCTCTCTGCTCAGCGGGGAGCCTGCTTCCTCCTCTCTCTCTCTGACTGCCTCTCTGCCTCCTTGTGATTTCTCTCTCTGTCAAATAAATAAATAAAATCTTTATAAAAATATAAATAAAATAAAAAGAATTTAAATGCATCCTATTATGCTTATCTGTTTCTATTACAATATACTTTTTTACATAATTGTTTTTAATTACTATGACAAGAAACATAACATGAAATTTGCCATCTTCACCATTTTTAAGTTAAGGAAGATTTTTTTAAAGTAAAAGTAAATGTAAGTCCTATAAGGCAGGAAATATTCATTTAAAGATATTTACTTCAGACTATGTCTATATTTTGAATTTTGTTTTTATTTTCTTGGATGTCAGAAGAACTCATCTATAATGGAGAGGATGAATTAATTTGGTTTAAAATAAAAGAAACCTCAGGAATAAATGAAAAGTGTTAGCTACTACTTATACTCCTTCCATTGCTCTCATGGTGGCCTAAAGTGAGTTGTTGAAGAGGCACCGTACCTACTCATCTGTTTCTCCATCTTGGAAGCCATTCTTCATTGTCATGATAATGTGCAAGAACTTTATGACTGTCCCAGAAATATGTGAGGATCAGTGTCTTGGAGTATGAGTTCAACTGGAGGTCTTTGTAGAAATTCTGTACTTTGTGTCTTATTTTGCATTTCATGGAAGAACTGTACAGTGTATTACGATACCTCTTGCTCTACTGTGTCTAAGGAATTTTCCTTTGGGCGTAGCAATAGAATTGTTAGAAAGCCATCGGCTTGTGAGTACTTCGAAGTCATCGCCACGTTCACACTTTTGGCTGGCATCCATGGCAAGAAGTATACTTCACTTTACAACCCATTGCTTGTGTGTACACAGATAATCCAAACAAGCTTCATGGGGTGCATTCCAAAAGTTATTTTTGAAAATAAAGTTTGAGTAAAACAATTTTATAGGCCCACCAATATGATACAGTGAATACACAATCAATAAATATTTTCAAAGTTACACAATTTTATATGCCCTTGTTTTTAGTGTCCTGATTTGATCAATTCTGTGTTTATGGTGGTACTATTGCTTTACCTACCTTGGATAGAAATCATAAAGATTAATTCTTGCTATTTATTTTTCATTTTATGTTTTTTTTTTCATACATCCTTACATTCTCTGAATTCCTTCTGGCAGCTGTAAAATGAGAATTAGCTTTAGCATTTTCAATTACATGGTTGTTTATATTGAATTGTCCGTTTTCCAACTAGCTTCAAGAAGAGCAGCCACCAGCTTGCTTTTTTCAACTTCAGCTATGTGCTTTGGTATAATACTGTAATTTCTTTCATTTGAATTGTTACCAAAATAATTGGAATCTTATTTATGCAGATTTAGACTCAAAGTTGCTAAGATCAAGGAGGGCTGCCTTCTTTCTGTTTGAAAGTTGGCCTTTGACTTGTTCCCCTGGTTAGCTTTGAGTATTTTCTTTTTACATTTCGTTGGGGTAGGACCAAGCAGCATGCTCTCCTCCTATAGACCAGGGGTGACAGGCTTTATCTGTGAAGGGATCCAATAAATATTTTGTAGTCTTTGTCTATTTTTTTCTTTTAAAATGACCTCTTAAAAACGTAAAAGTCATTCTTGAAAAATGTAAAAACTATTCTTAGCTTGAGGCTGTCCAGTATGGGCAGTGTGAGCCAGATCGGGCCCGCAGGCCAGATTTGCAGAGAGCCTTGGTGTGAACAGTTGTCACTCCTGCGTCATGTGAAACCATACTTAAAAGTGTTGATGAACCAGATTTCTAAGAAATTTGCTGGTAATTTTGCTAAGATATTTTTCAAGGTATTATATTGAGACTCTGTTTCTGCACAATAGGACAAATATATCGCTCCTTAGAACTTGGCTCTCCCTTAAGATATCTGGCCACCAGTTGAGATCAGCCCTCACAGAGTCTGTGGGAGGGCCTGTTTTGAATGTTTAGGAATTGGGCTTTTTTCCCCCCCAGTGCATGTAAGTAGTGGTGTTATGCTCCAAGGAATTAATTCACACTGGCCATCCTCAGAAGGGGATTGATAAGCCAGAGAACTGTTTCATTAATTTAAACAGTAAAATGTTATAATAGATGATTACTTGTGACATTCTTCTCTCAGGTGTGAAACTGAGATCAGAAGCTTCCTTGGTAAAGACAGAATTAGGATTTCAGATTAATTCAAATAACGTCTACTACATCCGTAGGAATGTGTGTCAAGCTGAGCAGAATAGTTGTGAGAGCTCGTTGTCACCAAGACAATGCAGGAGACCATCAGTACCCTCCTCACCATCACATGTTTGTTTATTCTCAGTGGAATAAAGATCCCAAGGAAAGAAAACCTGGAACCTCACCAAACCTAGTTCTCCTGTCTTGCTGTACCTCCTGGCCTTCTGTCTCTTGGTATATACATTTAAAAAAAAAATGGTTGACTCACATATTACAGCCAACTTTTTGTCCCCACTGAGGACTATGAACACAAGATACTTACATTCTAAGTTGAAGTAACTCTTTTTTTTAAAGATTGATTTATTTGACAGAGAGAGAGAGCAAGCATAAGCAGGGAGAGCGGGAGAGGGAGAAGCAGGCTCCTGGCTGAGCAGGGAGCCTGATGCGGGACTTGATCCCAGGACCCTGGGATCGTGACCTGAGCTGAAGGAAGGCAGACGCTTAACCGACTGAGCCACCCAGGCGTCCCTAAGTTGAAGCAACCCTTGTTTCCTAGACTGTGAGCTTCCACATTTCTTTGCTGTTACCTAGGATTTCCCAAGCTTGCCTGGTAAGAATCCGTGATCATCTGGAATGCTTATGTGAGGAAGGAAGGCAAGGAAAGGCTATTTTTTCCCCGAGCTGTTGAGAAATCTTTGAGGATTTAAGACTGGGAGCGAGGACTGAGCCTGGAAATTCCAGGTGATTCTTTGGGATATACCAATTTAGGACGGTAATAACCGGGTAAAGCTTCTTTAATTTCATTGTAATTTGATCTCGATCTAATCACTGTGAGAGCCTCACTCAAAGCCATCTATTTTGTATCCACCTATATACTGGAATCACATTTAGAACCAGGTGAGCTCATTAACATCATCTG